GGAGACAGACAGGGTGTAACAGCATAGGCTCCTTGAATTGGTGTGTCGCCTCATATAGTGTTTTGCGCTGTGTTTGTGGTAGAAAAGCGAAATCACACTGAGATTTCAGTTCACTGCTAAAGAATTCTGTTTGTACTGAATTGTTGTATATTTGTTTGTCGCCTTCAGATTAACTTTTTTCAAAACAGGTCAAAACGGCAATCATTTAGTACTAGTAATGTATAGTGTCTTTGGGGAAAAGAGAAATTATTCTGCAGATTTACATATGGAATGATGGTTGTACCTCCTCCCTGTATAACTGTAAGATCAGATCCTTGTTTCTGAAGTGTTGGAGTTTCACTATGTTGGGCCAGGGAGGATTGTCTCATCTTGGTCGTTGGGTGAGAAACTGATGGGCATGGCTGGGAGGTTCAAAACCATCAAAGACTTCAGAGTGAGCTGCTGTCACAAACTCTGTTGGATGGGTACCCTCCAAACCATTCTGGAAAGAGATTTTGCCGTCAGCATTGGCTTCCTCTGTCAACAGTCTGTTCTATCTACATGCCTAGATCGGAGTCTTCATGACTGTTAAGTGTCTCTGAGTCACAGATAGTTACATACAGTACGTTTATATTGCAGCCCGGGAGTTCTGCACCAACCTGTGCAAACTGAGAATGTGTCAGGGTGTCAGAGAATAGAATTAGGGGAAAGAAAATCGTGTTTTCACTTGCCAGCTAAATCATCCCGGGTCTTAAAAAAACAGAATTCACTGCCGCTGCCTGTTTGTTTTCAGATCCTGAAAAGGTGTGCAAGAGTAGCTGATTAACGGTGCTAAATTTAATCTGAAGCATCAAGAGATGTGTAATTAAAACAATTTTGCCGTATTACTTACAGCAGCAGTTGTGTGATCATTGTGAGTTCTTACACTGCATTTGCATAGCATGATCCATTCATTTGACTTAAGTAGATATATAATAGGATTATCTGCAGTTACCTAAGTTTAATTTTCCATGTGTGCTGGTGGACTGTGACGCATTCAGTTTGAAAACATGAAAGGAAAAGTAATCCTTCAGAAATTAACAGTTTAAAATTTGAGAAAGCGGCAGAAAAAAAAAAGAAAAAAAGCTTTCAGGCAAAATAAAAAAGATGTATGAGGAAAATATGAGGACATACAGTAAGAATGGTTATAAACGAGAGGAGGCCATTCGGCCCATCTGACCTGTTTGAAAGTTAGGAGTAAATTAATCCATAGATCTAATCCAACGTTTTCTTGATAGATGCTGGGGTATTTGCTTCAATAACATGGCTGGGTAACTTGTTCCATACTCTCTCAACTATTTGTGTAAAGAAGTTCTTCTTGTTCCTAGAGGATTTCATTCAGGTGTTTTTTTAGAGGAGCCAGGGTATTCAACAATTATTTATTCTTAATAGAATAAAGAATGGCTGGGTGGCTGCAATAGTAATTAGAAAAAAAACAAACCAAAAAAATTGGCCCTGCAGTTCAAATACCATCTCAACACAAAACAATACCTTTTGTAATTACCTAAAACTGGCAAAATAGTAGGCTTAGTTTTCCATAGATAAAATATGTAAAGAGAGATTTGATTTGATGAGAGCTTTTTAGAACGCCCCCATGTCCAGCTTTGCACACATCAGGTTGCACTAGACCTGCCTGAGCTTGTTCTGTTCTGCTGCACAATATAATTTTTTCTTTGTCCACCTTAGTAGCTAAGCAACAATGTTGTGCTACAAAAGCATCCGCCTGTGTCTCCAATCCCGGAGACTCTGTTGCACAGGTATGTTGTCCCATGTGCTGTGTTCATGATATGAGAAAAAAAATCTTACAAATCCAGCACATATGCGCTACATTTCCTGTCAAAAGTATTGTGGTGCCATAAAACGGGCTTTTGTTATGATTGCATTTGGTCAGGCATTGTACTGTATATCATTCCTTGTTGCTCCTCTGTTTTCCTGTTCTGAGCTGAATGACTGGTTGGGATGAACTAGAGCCACCTACAGGGCTGATCTGTCACTAGAACATGAAAAGCAAACACCAGTTTAGGCCTGTTTGTGTACAGAATCATATGCATTATTAAAATGAACAGGGGTTTTGTCCATATATAGGTGGCATCAGTCTTTTAAAAAATATCAGCATAGGATTATCAGATTGTTTGTGTTTCAATACCAGTACTTCCTCAGTAAAAAGCTTTAAAATAATTTAGTATATTCCTTACAACCAGGTATTGAGCTAGAATTGTGGAGTTTGTGTAGATCCTTGTTCAGGGGTTTCTGTGCCCCTAGGTGTGAGTGCATTTTAGTAAACCAGGCTATAATATGCAGCTGCTGTGCCATATGGCCAAAGGCAATTTAAAGAGGCTGGGAGGCGGCTTTTTCCAAAAACAAACATGTGAAAGCTGTGGCTCTCTGCAGCGCTTTAAAAATACCTTTTAATATGCTGGTACGCTCACAATACTGAATTTTTAAAACCTCCTAAAAGTGGCAGCCGTAAACTGTATCCTTTCCAACATAAATGGGAACGTACTTTTGGTACAGCAGCGTTTTATTATGCAAGTCACAAGAAAGGCCTGGGTGTAAACTTCAAGGGAAAAAGAAAGACATCTGTCTGTTGAATTGGATTTTGTATTCGTATATCTCAGTTTCTTCTATTAGAAGTGATGCGCTTATCGGTAAGAAAGAGTGTTTCTAAATCCAGAAAGCAGGGGATTTAAGTCGTATGGCCTGCTCATGTGATCGCACAGCTCTGTGTTATGGGAGGTAGGTGAAATCCCTGTTAATCTGTGCATGGGGTGGATTTGGGATGAGGGAGTGTGGCTCATAGCGCTGAGAAGTCTGTGGTCAGTCAGTATCACAGCAGCCTTCCTGCAGCTCATGAAGCCCTCCTGGTTCCAGAAGACTGTCCGCCTGGTAATGCGGTTAATGGCCCTGAAGCGGAAACGCCGCAGTTAAGTATTTCTTAAGAGCGTTCTGATGATTGAGAGGACGGATTTACCGTATTAAAGTGACCAACTGATTTTGCCCTAAAACCAGTACATTTAACAAAAGGCCTTTTTAGCTGTGTCCCTTTTCGCTTATGATTTGGTTGTGTCTGGAAAGGAGATGTTTGCTTAATGTACTGTATTTTCGTATTCCAGACAATCTGATTCACTAGGCATTGGTTAAGCAATGTTAAGGTGTTCTTGTTTTAATGTGATCTTGTAGTAAATGCAATTTCCTGTAGGTGTCACTGCAGTTTGGCATTGGTAAGAGGAAGTGGGTTAGTTTCTTATTAGGAAAGCAATCCAAATAGAACAGCAGAATTGTTTCTGTGCAGTTTTTGATTCATGTTTCTCTTTTCACTCAACAGTAAAAAGGCTGCATAATTTCCACTTTTTAATGTAGAAGGTGTTTGTATGTGCTGCAGCAGCAGCTTTCTAAAGGAACCGTTAAAATTGCATGAAAAGTGAAAATTGTGTGAGCTCTCAGCTATATCCAAATTAGAAGTGAAATGAGAAAATATGCTCTTCTATACTGAATCTGTAGTCTTACATCTTACAGAGGAGATGTATGCATTTTGATATGCCAAACAAGGCTGAGTACTGTGAAGCATGTCAAAATGTAACACTATACAAAGTCATTTTTATTAAAACAGAAAATAAGTTGTGTTTTGTAAGTGTGATTTTATATATTAATATTAAAATCAGTTGATTAATATATATATATTCACCTTAGATTGCCTCAATAGTATCACAAATACTTACAAATGTAACAAAGGTTATTGCAAATAAAATGTCCTAATTGTATATTCCTCAGTGTATATTCAAGTTCAGAACTTCCCTGGCATGTAAACAGTCTGTGGCTTTAGCAGGGGCGTGAGCAGGGCCAAATGCTGATTCTGCATTTCTAAACTGATCCCTTTTTATTAGTGGGGTTGGCATCGTGTTTAATTTAATACCGCGGGTCGGCTTTGTCATTCATGAAGAGAAGCATATTCCTGCCCCAAGCTGCATTTATGTTTAGATCTATGTCTTTGGTAGTTCTATACAGAATTCAGTATGTAGAAATGCATGGAAAAAAAACACACCCAGAGATTCCTCTCACCATTTTGTTTGGACATGGTATCGCACCTTGAGAGACGCTTATCTGTTTACAGCAAAGGCAAGATTATAATCCTACTGTGGATTGTTTGCTCACTTTCAGAAGTAATTAAGGGGGAGAGGACTAACAGATTTACTTGATGTTGATTAATTCTTGCATTGTTGTTTACATATGTAGCTATGCTCCTGATTGAGGAGTGTTGACAAATCTGATGCGCTCTTTTTCTAGTGAAGATACTGTAAGTTACTTTCATGATGTGTGAATAGTTACCCAGAAAGTATGTCTCTAAGCACTTTTGTGCAACAGATTAGATCCTGTTAATACTGTTTGATATGGAAATAACTAATCTTTTACAGTTCACTGAATAGTAGCAGTATTCTGCTAGTAAAGGAAATCATAATGGTAATATGCTGTCAAATATGTTAGTGCCACAGAGCAATTGACTAAGATTCAAATTAAACAAAGGCAATTAAACTTAAGTAACACTTATGGATGACTGCATTTTTAATCATCTCAGAAGAATGCTATATACTTAACTCTCAATCTAAATCCAAAATGAACCTTATGGAAATATAAATTAGGTTCAATGCAGTGAGTTTAAATGAATTCAATTAAGAATTAAATGTTTTTTGGTCTTGCTTTCGGCAATATGCAGACAGTCTTGTAAATGAAGTGTGTTGTATAATAAGGTATCAGTATTTGAAGAACTACCAAGTGTTTACAGCTGCAGGAGAACGTTTTCTAGTGTAGGTGACAATCCTGCAAGCATAACATAACACACTTCATATCCTCTCGCACACTAAAGAGCATATTGGTTTTTCCAGAACCATTCCGAACAAGTGGATGTCCCAACAAACGCAATGTTTCTATCCAACTCTTGAAAACCCATCCACATCTTGTAATCGGATATTTCTTTGTCATCTTAGGAAAGTGACCCTGGTGATGGTGGGACTTGACAATGCTGGAAAAACAGCAACTGTCCGAGGGATTCAGGGAGGTGAGTTTCACCCTTATTGTATGCTTTTTTGTCAGTGATTAGGAAAAACCTGTACATTTCCAGCAGTGCCAGAGAAATCTAACAGCTGTGTACATACTGGTGATTGATTTAGTAAAGTACACATTGGAGCCATTAAAAGTGACATTTAAAGGGGAGCCTGCTTATCATTCTGGTCCCAGCTACAAATCCCAAACTCAGTTTAATTACAGCAGATGTGCAAAAGAAAACGGAAAGCAAAAACTGAAAACAGCTCTCAAGTTCAAGGCTGGAGTTCTGTTGCTGCATACCAAAGAGTACCTTATTTATCTGTTTATTCTGTTTTGTTTTCCAAGGTCAAAACATTTATCTTGTGAATCATTATCTTGCACACCACAGCAGTGCCTTTTCTCTGCTGTTGAAAGATCAACAACCGGGAGAGAGTAGGTCATTAGTGACAGACCCTCATCCAGGTTAAACGTCAGACAGTTGAGAAGAAAATTTGGGGGGCAGACAAATTGTCTTGTCCTGCACAGTGGTTTGAACCCAATATAACTAGTTCTGCAAAGCGCCACTCTAAAGCTGGGATTTGGAATTGCTGCAGAGAGGTCAAATGCCATTGATATACAGTAAAATGAGGACTCTTGAGAGTCTTAAGTGAAACCTGGCATGACTGTCACAAACAGATGCTTGCCTTGAGAGCCTACCCTCAAGTGTGCATTTTTGTCTGCAGATTGCTAGCGCAGGTCTAGGGGAGAAGAAAAAGTAAAACTGAAAAATAGCTGCTTGATTTGGTACCCAAAAAAAAAATCAATGCTTGAACCCATCAAAGCATAATGATGTCTCTTAGTTCATCTGTACTACTTGGGGCAGTCGGGACATAGCTTATGCCTCTACACATTCCTATAATATATGTTATGTATATTTTATTGATATATTTCTCTGCTATGTGCTGACTTAACTCATTAAAAATAAGAATGTGAAAGCATAAAGCTTTGATGAAATTGAAATGCATAAATGAAACCATGACATGTCAGTTAATAACTAGCTTTTTCCTCAAAAGATTGTTGGAGATCAAAAAGGTTCTGGTGTCTAATTTTTATTGCAGAAAATCCAGAGGATGTTGCTCCCACTGTGGGCTTTTCCAAAATTGACCTGAAGCAGGGGAAATTTGAGGTCACCATCTTCGACCTGGGAGGGGGGAAGAGGATTCGGGGGATCTGGAAGAATTACTACTCGGAGTCTTACGGGGTGGTGTTTGTGGTGGACTCAAGCGACGTGGCGCGCATCGAGGAGACCAAAGAGACCATGGCCGAGGTCCTCAGACACCCCCGGATTACTGGGAAGCCGGTCCTTGTGTGAGTCCAGCTCTTTTCCTGCCTGTTTGGAAGAGGGGAGTTATCTGTAGCGTGCGTGAAGCACTTCATTAGAGCATCAGAGCTGTGAATAAGGTAGAGCTGAAGGTTTGCTTTGAGAGGTAAAGATGTGCTAGAAGTCTTCTAAAAAGGGATTTGGCTCTATGCTCATTCAAAATCCCTTTAATCTAAGTGTAGCATAGGTAGTCAGTTCAGAAGTTGCACAATGTAGTTTTTAAATGAGTATCTAACATTACTTGGATTAGACTTATTAAAGTTTAAAATAAGCCATTAAATACTTTGTTTCTTATGCATCTTGCACTTTGAGGTCATCTACCAGTGTAGCATTACCACCATTTTACAGTGAATGCTTTGCAAGTCTTAGCCTGGTCAATACTGGGATGGTAGAAAAACCCAGGAAAACTGGGTTGCTGCTGTAATCAGTGTTGGTGGACAAGTGGACATTTCTTCTCGACTAGCATGTCACAGTGTGCTCCAGGAGGTGTCATAGTTCAGATGAGACATTTAAACCAATGTCTCATCTGTAATTCAGATGATAAAAATTCAGATAATTAAATGAAGGTCCAGCATTAAGGATCCCATGCCACTTTGTAGGAGTGTCCAGTGTCAACTGTGGGGTTCCCCTTGTTTTCCCCTATTCTGCAACTACAGGCATGTGATAACAGCCGTACATCGCCAAGGTCAGGTGGTTACTGCACTTCAGCATTGAATAAAGTGGATCCTGTCCTTATGCTAGGTGCTTTGACTGGATTGAAAAGTGCGTCTTAAGTCTTAATTACCAGGGTGTCAGGGAGAGTTCTCAAACTTTCATTTACAGCAGACACTAGATGGCACTGTTGGCTATTTTGTACGGCATCCTTTATTAAAACTCTTCTTCGTTACTGTGAGAGATTTATTAACAGGATTATTTAGGTTCTGGGTTGATCATAACATCGGTGTAATCCATTTATTCTTTAGTTTTTAAAGCAGCAGAAGCTACTAAACCAGTTTCTTTACTTTAAAAAAATAATAAATCCCAATGCAGCTAATTTGAGCACAGCATAAATAAAAATAAACAATCCTTATAAATACAGGCTTTTTTCTTTTTTCTTATTGACAGCAGTTTGCTTTTGAGATGCCTTGTGTGGAATAAACGATTTGAATAACAACTTTGTGAGGATATGATGCATGAATAAAAACTTTAAGTTTTAATGCAAATGGTTACCTTCTCTAAAAATAGGTCATGTGTGTAAGTCGGATTCATTCTGAGTTATTGCCTCGTGTTACTACTTTATAGAGGTAAGAATCCTTTTTTTTGTTCTGGTTTTTCTTTCAAGAGGTGACTTTACTCACAATTCATTACTAGTCCCATAAAATAGCTGTTATGCTTTACATTACTTATCAGTCACACTGTGGAGTGTGTAATAATCTCTGGTCTGTAGTTATAGCTCCCTGCCCTTGAACAGGGTAGCACTTTTGAAAAACATCCTCATCATTCCTGTGTCTCCACTTTCAAATGAGTCTGTCTATCCCAGCTGCCAGCTACTGCCTAGCAGGAGTTCAGCTCCACCCAGACTTTGTGTGTACTCTGACAACAGCACCTCTACAAGTGAACTGCAGGGGTATTGACTCAACTTTGGTCATTAATTAATCCTTCTTCTGCTTCATTGCTTAATTTTCTGTAATCCAAACACTTATAAAAAATATAGCAGAGACCTGAAAAGGCAAAACCATTTCCCTTAAAGAAATCCATTGTAGAGATCATTTTAAATTTCAGTAAAAGTATAACATGTTTGATTAAGTGTAAACTTTAACTTTTCTGAACAAGAACTGCTATTTACAGCCCTCTTGAAAGTTGACCTCATGTGTTGTCCCTGAAAGCACTGAATTTTGAGTCAGCAAAGTATGGTTTCAGTATAAAAGCATGCATATGAATTAATGCATCAGCAACAGGTAATTTTATACTCACAGTGAAATAAAATAGTAGGGTAGAAAGATATTTCTTTGCTTTACCCTGCAATTTTAAATCTCTAGGTAATGAACAGCCCTTTATTTGAAATTCCAGTAGTTTAAATTGTATTATTCTTTGAACAAGTAAATAAAAGGCCTTAGCAAACAAAGGCTACTGGGAATTTTAAATACAAACTCTTTGTATTCTGTAATTCTCAGCCTGTTTTATACCTGTCTAGCTTGATCAAGGTGCTGCTAATTGTTTAGGAACACCAACAGAGTCAGTTGGCTTCATTCCATGGATGAAATTTAAAATGACATCATAGCTTTAAACTTTCCTTAAAACTGTTGGTGTAAAAACAGGGTGTCACAGGTTTTGTTTCACTCTTGATTCTCACTGTCCTCCACTATTGTGATCTTTATATCCTGTCCAAAAATATCTAAAATGTATCTGGCAATATATAAAAAAAAAACATGAATTGCTTGTTTTGTTTTTTGCCCTTTTTGGTCTTCTACTTTTTTGCTGTTTGTCTGCTCAAATACTGTACTACGTAACCTTTTTTAAAATTTTGGGCAATAAATGTTATTGAACTAAAATTTTTATAAAGGGAGTAAAAGCAAGTCTGCATACCGGTATTAAAACTTAATGGATGCCTTATATAATAAAGAACTGAAAGATAAAGAAGTACAGAGCGTAGAGTGTGGAGATGACCTCACAAACATGGAATGTAGTATAGTGTTAATATATATGAAGAATAATTAAAATGCTTATTAAAATGCCACCTGCATAGTAAACTTTGGCAGTACACTGGGCAAAGACTGCATCCAATATCATGGTCCAAGGAGTGAAATCATTTTGTTAGTGACTTGTTTGTTTTTTATTCAAGTGGTGTAGGCAAGACATAAATCACAGCTTTGCAGCACGGAAGGTTTATAGATATGTCTCTATTACAGATACAATCTTAAATGAAACAGACAAAAATATGCCCCCTCAGAAAACTGAAAAATCATCATGAGGAGCAATCATGTTATACAAAACTCAAACAAGAAGCAAAACTGATATTTATTTTAATTAACATATGTCATCTTTTCAGGACTCAAAAAAAGATAAGGAATCTCAAGACATTCTCTTGTATTTTATGTCCAGAGAATCTTTAAAACACGGGCCTTATGGTAAAAGCCTGAATCTAAAACTTCAGTGAGCAGTGGCAAAATGAAACATTTAGTTTTACTTTTCCTTAAATGGAATACTGTCACATTAATACACAGTTATTTTCTTTTGTGTTATCTGTGTTTTTGAAGACTTTATCTTGGTTAAGGTTTGATTAACGCTTCTTCATAAAAATGTGAAGGACTGTCCCCTGTCAGGGGAATTTTTTCCTGTAATAAAGTGCATATAAAAATTTGCACATTCAAAAAGCTCTACTTCAGTCCTGTTTCCATTTGGAAGTTCCTTTTAACCTTGCCAGGTGGTAATCAAGGCATCTATACTAAGCATCAAAAGAAATGTATCACCCTATTTATGCATGTGTGCTTTTAGAAGAATAAAATATGTGATTTCTGGATATAGATTAGATGTTGTGGCATAATTTTGATTCATTGATCATCATTGGTGACTGTGATACACTCGAGTGACTTTGTGGCATAAGCACTAAATCACTTCAGTAGTGCAAAATTTAATTTTGAGAGGTGATTTAACTGTTAGCATGTCAAGCCTGGTGAAAATTAAAGAAAAAGATAAACATAAAAAAGAGCCATTATTCCCCGCTTATTGAGTGAAAAACGCCTATCAGATTATTGGTGCCAGCAGAGAAGCCTAGTCCTCTTTAGTGTTAAGGCCAAAGACCTACAGGCTGTGCAAGTCAGCCAGGTGCAAATGATGTGGACATGCAGACGGATACACTAACTGTGGGCAACAGACCAGTGGATGGAGGGGTCGGTGTGTCAGGGTCAAGGTAGGACTGTCTGATGGCTGCAGAACTCCACTTCTATTGATTGAGGGAAATCTAATTGCACAGTGCTACAGTACATTGACTAAATCCTGGAACCTCACCTGCTCCCCTTCCTGCAGGATCATCCTGATGTGGACAACATTCCAGCAGGACAACACATCTCCTCATGCTTTTCATCAGAATACTTTCCGTGAGAGATCAGAATGTGATGCTGTTATTCCCACTAGAAAACACCTGTCACCTGGTGCCAAGCATGCTCTCAGATCTACAGATTGTGTCGTTTCCATTTGTAACCACAGCCTCTGTTACTCATTTTTGATCCCCTGTTGGATCAATACGGTTAATGAAAAATTATAATAAGCATAGTGAGTTTACCTATATCATGACTGTTAAAAAAAAAAAGCAGAACTGCTACATCTGCTACAAAAAATAATTTTATGGATCACTTTGTGAATTTGTTGTAGGTAAAGCGATGCATTTCTCTTGATGATCAGTGTCAGCTGTGCAATGAAAAACAGTAACACTTGCCCGTGTGCTCGAGCTGACCTACATAGCGCACTACAGTACATTACATTCTAGAGTTTGCAATTGACATAGCCTTGCTACTTGCAACAAGGGCAGCAGCAACAGCACATCTTTTTCAGAGGGTTCTTCTTTCGGTACTTGGCTGCTAGCTTGAACTTCTCATTTGTTTTCTGCACAAAGTCCTGGGTCTTCTGGATGTTGGACTCAATGTTCTCGATGTGCTCGCCCTGCTCCTCAACCTGCAGGTAGATTTCCAGAAAGAGGTCTCGCAAGTCCTTCATGTTGCTCTCCAGGTTCATCAGCTCCTTGTGGCGCTGCTCGATCTCCGTCAGCTGCGCCTTGGTGATCTTCACCTCGTTCAAGACATTCTCGTTGAAGACCTCCCACTTGCCCTGCTCCACCATCTCGTCCACCTCGTCCTCCGACACCTCCTTCCCAGCCACCTCCAGCTGCAGCACAATGAACTGCTTGCACTTGTCCTGCTTGCTGACCAGGGTGTCGTTGTACTGGCGCATCACCTGCTGGAAGTGCCGGAACAGGGTCGAATACTGGGTGCTCTGGATGCGGGTGATCGCTGCATTCGGGCCATGCTCGGCCTCGGTGCTCTTGACCCGCTTGGCCAGCGCGTCGAGCTTCCTGTGGAGGCTCTCAGCCTGCAGCTTGATGTCCCTGGTGACGCTGCTCTCCTTCTTCATGACGCTGAAGCGGCGCATGGTGGCCACCAGGTTCTTCTGCTGCTGGCTGAACCTCTTCACCTCGTCCGCCAGGTCATTGATGCTGTCGCGGATACGCTGGACCTCGCTCAGGAAGTTCTCTATCCCCGGCTCTGTCTCGAACACCACCGCCTGTGGGCTGAATGACGCCCCATCGGTCACATCATCCGCAAAAGTGTTCTTTTCTTTCTCCATCTCTGCGTCTTTAGCTCGCTGCCGGAGCTCTTCTAGGCGATCCTTCATGGTTATTCCGAATGTATTCTTTTTTAAACGCGATCACTTAATTAAGGTTTAATCTCTGTCGTTCAGTCTGCTGTAAAATGAAGTGCCATTATTAGGCCCGGCTCCGTAGCGGTTTTGTGAATCTGAAAAACAGAGAAAGCTGACAAGTTGATAAATTAAAAAGGCTGTAGTTGGTTAGAGGCTGCAGTCCTTGAGATCTTGCTTCTGCCAGCATCCTAAGAGAGAAAAAAAATCTTTGTATAATCGTTTACTTCTCTCTTTACGTTTATCTTTTTACTGACTGCCTAAGGGAACCATACCAGCTGTAGTTTTGCACTGAACGGGGTCTAAATGGTTATAGTGGTTTCTGGTAGTTCAATAAATCTGTTCATCAAAGTACTCTGGCTCAAAATATCTAAGCATGCCTGTCACTGGCAGCAATTGGGATTATTCTGATTCTGTGCTACCAGCAGGTGTGTGAATCCTGTATTAATAATTAATACAAGTGTGTAATAATCAATGAAGTGATTTATTGAATTCAGGAATATTCTGTCGACTCATTAAACTAAAGAAGGCCAAGCGTGACTTGATCAAAGGCATTATCATTTAAAGTATATTAAGTACTGTATATTTTCAGTATTTTCAGTTTCTACAGAAGAGGAAACTGCTCTGTTACAGTACGTTCCTTTTTGACATTTCCTATGTAGTCCCTGTGAGGGGTGTGCCTATTAGTAAGTGTAAACAGCCACACTAGAATAAAGGCTTAGGGGTCTCAGTGTCTGATGTACTTCCAGCACTTCAGAAGACCATTGGGTTTCCTGTCCCAAGTCACTGTTCCTTGATTATTTTCTTTAATTTACAAAAGCCCTTTGCTTCCTTTTCAACAGCTCTATCAGCAGTATGCAAAGCAAAATGATTAGGTTCGAGATTTTTGGATCTTCTACTCACTGGTCTAATTTATAGATGTTGTGATTAAGGTAAACAAATTCTTCTAACCTCTTATATATATTTCCACAGAATTTAAAGCAAATCATGCTTTGTGGTCTAGGAGTGAGTGATTTGTTAAAAGATCATATCTGAAGGGCTTGGAAGCAGCTCGTTAATGCTGCAGTGATCCCACAGCCTGATAGCAGTTTGCTAAAGTGGGTATAGGCTGGAGGCATGTCCCTAGATGGGCATCTCGTTTTAAGTGCAGGAAAAAGCTAGAACCTCAACAGCATTCTGTGTCAGTCTGCTGTGCAGTGTTCTTGCTCACTTGTCAGTATACCTCAACAATGTGAAAATATGGGATTTGATAAAACACCCAGCGCACACCCAAACGTGTGTACTGAACTGTACAAAGTAGTTACAGCAGCAACTTTAAGAAGCTCCAGCGCAAACTTTCCTGCTTTTTATTCATAATGTCCATTTCTTTTTGTCTAGTGGGGAAATAAAATATTTTTTTCCCACTTCACACCTGAAGAAGGCTCCACGGCCGAAACGATATGTTTTCTTTCTTCTTTATTTCAGCATGGAATAAAGCTATTACTAGTTCCTTTGCAAAAAAATATTTTGTCTGTTTACCATTTCTTAGTTGCATTAAAAAGATGAGACAAACTTGCTTGCAAACAAAATGTCTGTGGGATATACAGTAGGAATGAAAGGTAAACACTGCAAAGAAAATGAACGATTAGAAAGAAAGTCATACCTTTTATATCTGAAGTTAAAGTAATAATTGCACTCCCTTAGAAAACAACATCAAGAAGGGGGATTGGTGTTTGTTTACTTTTAGCAAAGCCTCAAGAGCCATGGCAAAGTCTTGGTTTTTCCAAGCTGATCCATACAATTCTAACCACCCAACGTCAAGAGTTTTGGACTTTAAAAACTAGTTTTTGAATCTCAATTGACTAAAAATAATAAATAAATAACCATTACACTAATATAGCACTTTTCTGGAAACTCCACTCAAAGCACTTTACAGTGTGGACCTTAATGGGGATTCCCCTCAACCACCAATGTGCAGTCCCCACCTGGATGATGCAACAGCAGCCAAAGTATACCAGTACACTCGCCACACAACAGTGGGGAGGAGAGCCGAGTGATTAAGCCAATTCTTAACTGGGGTTTATTAGGAAGCTATGATTGGTAAAGGCCAGGAGAGAAATTTGGCCAGGACACTGGGGTAACACCCCTACAATCAGTGCTGGACCCTGCTGAGGATGAAAGTAAATAGTCTCATTTTACTCATCCAATCTCAATTCATCCAAGTTAAACCTGATCATACCAAATTTACATATGCATTAGTCTGAAATTTAGTTTATTAATGGTTATTACACATCAGATTAGCGGAAAGAACAGGAGTAATAGCAGATTTATGAGGAATTGTGGATTGAAAATAATCCTTACATTATTTTGCTTTGCTAGAGATATGGGTATTAACATCTGTTTAGACATGATGACTTAATAGCAGTTATAATAATATTAAGATTTTCTTTAGCTCACCCCTTTTTTCAAAAGCCACTTACAGTGGTTACACTTACCTATTTTTTACACAAATGTTTTGGAACTTTATTTTATTATTGGTTACACTTATATAGGGCTTTCCTGCACACTCCACTCAAAGCGCTTTACAGGTAATGGGGACTCCCCTCCACCACCATCAATGTGCAGCATCCACCTGGATGATGCGACGGCAGCCATAGTGCGCCAGAACGCTCACCACACACCAGCTATCAGCTATCAGAGGAGAGCAGAGTAATGAAGCCAGTTCATACAGTAGATGGGGATTATTAGGAGGCCATTTTACAGTTTGTCTTCAGGAGCAGTCTGTCATTTATTTCTTCATCTTTTGAAATTTCTCATGCCGAACTGCTATATGTGCCCTACTGTCCTGAACTTGACAGACATGGAGACAGGAGTTTTCTTAACTGATTTATTTGTGTGCTTTCAGATCTCTCTCCCATGCCATTGCCTTATTTTTTTTTCTCCTGATGGAGCTGTGAAACACTGGCAGATGAATAAAGTTTAGCAGAGAGCATGTGAATGTAACCTTTGGGGAGACAGTAGGGGAGGAAGGGGGTTGGGATTCTTCCTGTGTGGTTTTAATAAACGTTCTTATGTCGTCAACCCTTCCACAGCCAGAGATTACTGACTTGGTGTAACCTTGTTGTGATTGGGAACTGTGAAGAATGTAAATGCTACTTCACAGCCTGCATAACTAAACCAATCTCTTTGGGGGTAAAGCTTATTAATGTAAGAGTTGCTATTGTTCAACACAATACTGCAGTTTCACAGACCTTGAGTGTAAATACTCAAGAGGCTGTCTTTTGGAACTTTCCCTTTCCCCGGGACCTAATTAAAGAATTACATAACTGTTCTGTGTGGTGCAGCTGCAGATTAGTTTAATAAGTATCAGCTGATCAACAAGGTTTTGCAGCCATTGTATAACCCAACGCCTCTGTACTTCAAAGAAAACACAAAAACAAACAGAAATCTGACTAATTCTGCCATCCACTCCCATACCACAGTGCGTCATAAGGCAGTGTACGTACATTTTCCTTGGCCATTATAGGTCATGCTAAAGCAAAGACTATTTTTAATCTTAATATGCAAAAAAGATAGTCCATAACAGTTTCTTGCCTTCAGTATGACTTTTCTAAATGAGGCTGTACTCAACGGGGATAGTTCTTACACAATATTTTATAACATTTCTAAATTCTCATTGGACTTTTGGGGTTGTGAGTTTACTCTGTTTTAATGTTCTTGATTACTTTTTATTAAAGTGTCATGTTTTTCCTCAGACATAAAACATGGGCATAATTTTTACTACCAATGAAGGCATTTTACCATTTAGTCCTTTTGAAATCCATTGTTAACATTCATCCTCGCCATTATAGTCATCTTTGTTGAAGCCAGGAGTTTTTTTTTACAACAGTAAACAGGAACCAAACAAAATTCTTCTTTACTCATTTAAAGCTTTGCAAAGGGAACACATATTTTAATAAAACTAGTTTGTATGGTTAAGGTATGTACTTGGTTATCATCTTTATTATTAATAATAATAACATTATTATTATTAAAGTAGACGTTGCAGTTCTGTTGGCTTAAAGTCAAAACCTTTTTCCTACTTAACAAGTGTAGTAAGTCAACACTACTGACACTTGTGCCAGTAATGCAGATAAAAATGGTTGATAAGGCTTTCAGTGTGTCTTGGTCTGGATACAGGATCTATGTTGTAAATACAGTCATTCACAAAGTTTGCTTTGCAGATCATTGCTGAAAACAAAAATGGCGAATTTATTGACTTTACCTTTTTATTAACTTTATTCTCTTAACATTTTAAATAAAATAAGCTTTGAGTTTCAGTACCACCTTTTATTAAAATGACTTTGTCCAGTATAGCACAATTACAAATACATGATCTCTGGTAGTTTTTAGAATACTGTACATAATATCTACATAAAACGTTGACCTCTAAGAGAAAGCCAAACATTTTTTTCACATTGCTTCATGTTTCCTGGATTGTATAAATAAATTAACAAACTACATTAGGCTAAAAGGAATGTATACAGTATCTGTACCTAGCTCTAACCAAGCTCTCTTCTTGTACTTCTTGTATCTTGTACTGGTGCTCCTCTCTTTCTGGTAGCAAGCTTTAGAGTCTGCCTTGAGGAACTCAAACCTGTGTTTTGAGCTGTGACAAGTTTCTTCACCTGTAGCTACTTCCTTTACTGAGTCTGCATTGACTGGATGAGCCCAGGACACAGATTCCTATGGATAGCGGAACATAGTTCAGATTCTACCTATGTGAACTAGTGTTAAACCTGTTCACTCCACATCCTGTATCGTGATGTGGAGTGATATTGAAAACATTTTGATTGCTTGCAGTTAAGTTGTTTTGTAAAACTTTAAAAACCTCTGAATTTTGTTTTTGCAAACTTCTTATAAATGAGAAAAAACATTTATTCAGACTTCTACATATAGTTATTCTGTTTGTTCTTTTAAAAACCCATCTGAATATAATAATCCTCCTTTTTCAAACTCTTAACCTGTTTTGTTTTCTTAAAAGAAACTTTTAAAACTAAGAATGACCAAAAGAACACTAAATAATGGTCTGTAGAACACTACAGGGCTTTCTTTAGTTCTTTGTCTTAGAAAATGTGTATGAAAAGATTTTTAGAGAAAAATTCTAGTTACCTTGTTGTGTACTCCTCAAAGATTGAAACACCTTTCACAGGAAGGACATGTAAGCAGGTGTTAGCTCCACTGAAACAAGTAGCATGGTAGGTACTGAAAAAGAACAGCGACACAAAGTCCCATCAGTCTGAGCATTTCCCCGTGGTACAAGTCCTCAGGGCGCAGATTTTGCTTTAGCTTTGACCTCTCCAAATCGCTCAAGAAAACATTCCAAGAACCTAGCGTGTGTTCAAGTCAAAGTTAACCATGACATCAGGACAGCAGATACTGTAGACAAAAACAGTGCTCCTGGGAAATCAGGTTCAGCCAGTTATAAGCCCAGCCCATCTAGCCACAGAAGTGCTCTGCCTGACCAATAGGGTGAAACTGACAGAGGCTTATTAGGCTATCTCTGATCGCAGGATGACGTAATTATGTCAACGGGGAAGAAAGCATGCTGTTTACTTTCAAAGTGCCTTTTGTCTCAAAAGTATTGTATTCAGGGGGTTACCCCTGAGTGTGAAACAGTTCTGATTGTTTTCAGACATGTCCTTCAGTGCACTGAATACGAGAAGCTATTGTTTTAGCAGTGGGAATGTTAGTCTAAAACACTTATTTTGCGTTTATTACACTTTCTTTTAAAATAAGAGAGAAAAACTTAGCAACCGACGTAAAAATATAATATAATAAAATAAAATAGCGCCTTTATTTTTTATGGTATTCATGAGTGTTTTAATAGCACACAAATGTAGTAACAGTATCAGGAAGTAATATCAAGGGAATGTATTGCTGGGTGAAATAATAAAGTTTTTGCTTGCACTAATGTAATAAAACATTCCTTGTAAAGATACCAAAAGTATTATCCTGTGGGAGAAAAAAGAGTAATGTGCAAAATTAGATTGATCATTTAGGTGTTGAAATACAGTCCACTCTAGATAAACCTGATAAACATAATGTCTATTGTAAAACATAGTTCCTTATATCAGGTGTGCCCAAGCCTGTCCTAGAGGAAGAGGATCTGTACGTTTACAGTCAATTAATCATAGTTGTTTATTCCGTTAATGGGCTCAGAAAAAGAAAAGAAAACACAAAGGACTGGTAGGTCTCTGTCCTACTTTTTGAGATGCACTACACTTTTTGTGCTAAATTTACACTTTTTGTATTAGCCGGTTTAGTGTTAGTAGTAGTCTTGGGCTCTCTCCTGGGCTTGAGTGGGGTCTCTCCTTGGCTCCTGTCCTGTTGAACCCAGAAGAAGAACTCTTGGTTCTAACTCTGAAATAAGTAGGACCACAAGACCTTACTTTCAGGCAAGCAGATCAGATCCTCCTGGACCAGAATCAGCCTGAGAGAGCAAACCTGGTTAGGTTTCAGGTGTTGGGTCACTGATGTGAACAGTCACTGCTCCAGACTGATGTGAAAAGCAGCTTCATTTAGAATCTTCAAAAAGTGCTCAAATATTTGAAGACTTATTTTTCTCAACTCTGATTGTTTGTTTAAAATGTCAGAAGTTATATTTTGTTTAAGCTTTGTTTAATTCTGTTTGGTGCCTTAAGCTGGGTTATAATTGAAAAAATCTCAGACTGCCATCATTTCAAATGCTTCTTGCCTTCTCACGAAAGGAAAACAATGCAATGTTTGTCAGTAAAAAAAGTAAATATTATATCTATTTGATACAGTACATACACGTATCATATAGTGTTAATATAGTTCACTCTTGCATTCGCTGGAATGGCTGCACTTTTTTATTCTAATAGAATGTTAAACATTAATTTAGCATATTTAAGATTCCAGGCTGACAGCGTTCACCTACAAAGGAAAATTTGGCAATCAGTCAAGTTCTGCTATCTGCTACACCTGTCTGTTCCATTCTTGGTAAGCGTTAAGATCAGCTCTCTGTGTGCTGATGGTTATAAACCATTGTGTGAAAATTCATCTGTATGTGGTGCTGGATCTCCATTCAAGGTTAAAGATGGATTTGGTGGGGTGTGGGGGTGGTTGTTACACTTGCAGAAAACAACAAACATCTACTTATCCATATGTTCACATGATTGTGAATTCCTAAGATTTTAGCAGTGTTACATTACTCTGTTTCTCAAGCTAACATAAACCTGTCTCTGGTTTATAGCGTGATATACTGTATACCAGTAATCTCTATATGAACCTTGATGTAATTGTAATGAGATTTGCAAAGCTGATCGAACACTCCTTTCCCACCATACCATACTATGAAGAAAGGAGAACTTTTGCGCTGCTTGTCACAAATAATGCAACGATTTGACTTTGGTATAACACAGCTGCTTCTTTTCTTATATTACCCATGACAGTACTTCCATTACTGCACAGCCTCAAGAACAGAATAGGACATCCTGCCCTGCTTTTTATATTGTACTTTAATTGCAGTGACTGCTGCTTTTTAATCTAGTTTTCTAAAACTAGGCATTATAGTTGAAAACATTTTATTTTCTCCTTAAATTGATATACTTAAAATCGTAATTTCCACATGTACTTTATAAAACATATATGTAATTGTCTCAAATGATCCAAGTCCTGCCTACTTCTGGATGAGGACAAATATTTGGAAAACAATGCTTTTTCAGTAGCAGAACTGTCAGACCTGTTGAATTTGGTGAGTCATCTCGAGAGTGGAAAACTGGTTTAGCAATTTTTGTACCAGTATTCATATTAGGAAAATAAAAGGCTTGCCCAAAGCAAAATTCACAGCAGTAGTTTTATTTTATTTTTCTGTGAAGTGGTATTACACACTGGGAGAAAGGGAGTTGATGATGTGGGTTTGTGCGTGTGTGAAGGAGTAAAGATATGGGCAAAGCAGGACTGGGAGGGGTGGGGTGGGGGTCACACTTGCTTTCCTCTTTGATATAAACCAGGAGGTACAGGTGTCATCTGGCATTGGCAGATCTTTTTTGGTGGTTTTACTACAACAGAACCCTTTCGCTTTTCTCCTTAAAACCAAACAGTGTAACTGTTGCACTAGTTTGCCATGTACTTAGCTCAGTGTTTATGCTTTCATAACAACAAATAGTTGTTTTGTTAAAACATCAATGGCATTATCCTTGTTTAGATATGAATCATTTCAAGGAAGCTGTGCATCAGTTCAGTGACTAACTTAATGCTGAACTCTGGAAGCATGACTTACAGTTGTTGTGTCAAATATTTGCTGTTTGCGGTACAGTGCTTGTTATACTAATGTGCAATGTCTTAAAAAGTATTCACCCCCTTCCAGTAATATCACCAATTTGATGACAAACAATGTATATATTTTTCATATTAGCCTTTTTCAAAACTGTAATGATCAAACACAATCATACTATATATTTGAAAGAAATATAGATTTTGAAGAAAATTGAATGTCACAGAAACCTGCAAAAAAGATACACAGTGTGAAATCTACTTATTGCATAAGGATTTTGCAAAGAGTTACCACAAAACTGAAGTTTGGGGGAAAATGTTTTTTTTATGTTTGTATCAGTATGTAGTAATTTTCTTTCAATATAGACCTGATCAGAAATTATTTCTATTGAAAATATTAGTTCAGATAACCCATTTACAGGCTAGGCTAAATACTTCCTGCACTTTTCTGTCTCTCAACTTCTTAACAAGTGTTATAACCTGTTAATTTGTATTTTGCTTTTAAAAAAGATATTAGTGGGACCAGTAGGGAGTGCTCACTCCTGTCAGTCTCAATAGTCTCAATATACTATACTATAAAAAAGGCACCGTTTTTCTGATGAGATGTAAAACTGAAGTCCTGAATCTTGGTGTTCTATACAAGTGGAAGCTATTATGATTATTATTATTATAGAAACTAAATTGTAGTTTCAAAGGTGTGGCTTGCATTGTGATAAATTTACTCGTTTGTCAGTAATAGCCATGCTTGCATCATTTTATTTAATCTGTGCCTGTGACCCATGACAACTCATAGAAGGCTTTGCTCTCTTTCAGGCTGGCTAACAAGCAGGATCGAGATGGGGCCTTGGCAGAAGCCGACATCATTGAGTATCTTTCTCTGGAAAAACTGGTGAATGAGAACAAATGCCTGTGTCAAATTGTAAGTGTTCCTGAGACATTTTGTGTATCAGATTGTACAACTGTGAGGAAATGTACATGTGAACCTTAAATGTAGGAGTGAAAGCCACTCACTATGATATGCATACATTGTATTTATATACAGAATGCTCTCTTAGTAGGAGTTATAAAGTACAGCTTTTTATCATGCAAAGCAGTCTATGCATTCATCTCCAATTTAATGAATTCATGTAATTTTATATCTGGCAGTGACCAATGTCAGTAGGCCTTCTTTTTGATGCTTTTTGAATAAAGTGCAAACTCTTTTCTGATTTTCAAATAAAAGAGAACATTACTGCAGTGAAATATTTACTCCCCATTCAGTAAATTCTTACTTAGAAAAACCATACAGGTTTAATTAAGAAAACACCACTGGGTTTATGATGAATCGTGTTAACCTTCCTTATGGCTGGAAACAAAGGCAGAACCTCAGTCTTTTAAAAAGTTTTTTGAGGACAGGGACTGTGGTGTTGGCTGCACAGTAAAGCACACACAGTTTTTTGTGTCAATCAAAAATGTTGATGTTTAAATTACTTCAGTTGTGTTTGTGCAGTATTATAAGGAGGTCATTTTTACAGGAAGAAAATACATTTCCAAAGAAGCTAAATAGAAGCTTGTTTCTATGCGTACAATGCCAGCCCTGATTTTTATTTTCTAGGTCTAGAATTACATATTGATTTACACCAAGTAGTGAACTTTCTGGTGCTTCCCAACTACATTGTGATTGCAGTAAGTTAAATTGTGGGGCGGCATGATGGTGCAGTGGTTAGCATTGCTGCCTCACAGATCTGGGACTCAATTGTTGACCTGAGTTGCTACCTGCATGGAGTTTGTATGTTCTCCCTGTGTTTGTGTGGGTTTCCTCCTGGGGCTCCAGTTTCCTCCCACAGTCCCAAAACATACTTTTGTCTTTGCATTTGTCCTGTGATAGACTGGCGTACCATCCAGGTTGTACCCTGCCTTGTGCCTGTTGCCTGCCAGTACAGGCTCTGGCTCTCCCGCCACCCTGTATTGGATAAATTAATTAATTAAATGATTGTATGTTACATACCTCTTCCAGGAGCCCTGTTCAGCTGTTATTGGGTATGGGAAAAAGCTGGATAAGTCCATCAGGAAAGGTCTTAGCTGGCTGCTGAACAACATCGCCAAAGACTACGAGGCGATAAATGAGCGTGTGCAGAAGGACACGGCAGAGCAGAAGGCCCAGGAGGAGCAGGAGAAACGGGAGAGAGCTGAGCGTGTGCGCAGGGTTCGAGAGGAAAGGTATGGCCCAACATTTCCATGACTGCATTTTTTTCCAAATAATGATGCAGTAGAATTTTTTTGTTAAAGCAAAGCACACAGAGGAAACACGGCAAGGCATATTCACTTACAATAAAATGATGATACCACACAGGAAAGCACTTTTCAAATGTTGAGGACGTAAAGCAAGTTTTAAAGTCAGGGTAATTATAGGAAAAAGTTCAGAATCATGCTGAAGTGTTGAAGCAGGTGTCAAAATAGCTATAAAATTAGCTGTCTTTCATTCTCCTTTCCCCTTTCTGATGCGATTTCCTACCTTATAATATCTTTTGAAATATTTCTTTGTTTTAGTTATACTGGTGAAAGAATATACAGTGCAATATAGAATATAAAAAAGTATTTACCCCCTTCCATTGTTGTCCCATTTTGTCGAATTTTAAAAGATGTCTACAGTTTTTAAAATGAATAGTTTTAAATTTTAAAAAATGTTAAATTTAACATTTTTCATTTTCAAAACTTGAATGCTCAAAAAGTCTTTTATGAGTGAACAAAGTCAAATGTCAGGAAGACCTGCACAGAAAAATCATTTGGAAGGAAGAGGGTGCTTTTGCAAGACACAGATAAAAAAAAGGTTTCATAATATGTAGACTCCATATTGCAAGTGTTGAAAGAAAACAAATATGCCTGAAAGATAGGAAACCCGTTTCATCTACGTAGCTGTAAAACAGAGCTTGTAGAAAACCACCATAATTATTAAAACAAATGGTTCTTCCAAAAGATAACGTTTATGTCAGGAAAGGCCTCCTTTATTGAAAGAATGACTCCTCTGGATCTCTTGGAAACTATTACTAGTGGGACTCTGGGATCCTCCCTTTTAGGGCTGCGCTGGAATGCACAGGAGTCTGTTTGGTCTCAGTGCTCTTCTCTCGGCTTGCCTACATATTTGGAGTGTTTTCCTCAACAGGGAACAGAGAGAGAGGGTGCAGGCCGAGCAAGAGGGACGGACCGTCCAGGAAGAGGAGGAGGAAGATGGTACTATGGCGAACCCCTTCCAACCCATCAGCCATGTCATCACAGAGGTATGTGCCTTAGCGAGAAAAACAAAGAGGCTCCCTGCACCCTCTTGGCCTATTTCAAGGCTGGCCTGTATGGGGCAGTGAGAGGAGATTCTATGCCAACCTGATTTGGAACACTTGATTGAAAGAACTCAAGCAACGCTGGTAGTGGAAAAGGTAAGTAATGAACTGGGAGAAAAGCTAAAAAAGAGAATTAGAAAGTCGGAGACAGAGATAGAAACAAATTCAACAGGTAACAAATAAAAGAAAATCAGTATTACAGCAGAAAACCAACTGTAAATACTCAAACGTGTCTCAGAAGTCATAATCATTTAGATGATAGGAAAAATGGAAAATGTATGTAATAATACATCCCCTTTTGTTAAGAAAGAAAACAAATCAACAACTTGCCACAGACTGAGGAAATTCAAAAGTCCATTGTTATTTTACTTGAGCATAGAAACAGGAGACATGTTGCAGGTACTGTACTTGAAGCACTTAAGATAAAACATCAAGCCCTGGAGATATTTCGCTAGTTCTTCGGAAACAATAATTCAAGTAATGTAGACCAATAATTGGTATTACATGGAAAGCTGTGGAAACACTCATTAGAACAAAATTAGAATATTAATACTATATACCAATATCATTCTTGAGCACACTCTACAGTATATGCATTAAGAAAAGGTTAAGGTCTTACTTTACTAATATGCATAGATTTCTCTAATGAAACAACAGTAGTAATTTACATAATATATGATGTACTGTATACAAGCAGAGAACTGATACAAGTTCCTCATTAAAGATTGCTTCTTAAATTGCAGGTGGCAGGCATTTAAGGCAATGCATATAGTATATTTGGACTGTGAACTGGTTTATGGATATTAACAGATAAAAATAAAGGGTGAATGCTCCACCTGGCCCCGGCCGATCTATAATAATAGACTCTGGTATGATAAGTTACTCAGGTTTGCATTTGATCTCAAATTATGAAGACTAGAAAACATTGTGGAAGCAGCAAAGCATCTTCAGAAAGATTTAGACAAAATCCAAGACTGGGCAAACGCCAGACAAATAATAAAAATTTAAACAGTATAAGAATGGAATACCTTTTACTTGTCTTTAGATATCCATCCTTTGGCCTCCCTCTGCAGCGGTATCTCTAGGCTGAAAAATTATATTCTGTTAACTGAGCTTGTAAATCAACTCAGATGTTCTGTCACATGTTATTTTCTTTCACTTGTAGTTTTGCAAGTGTGCATTTTGTCTTGAAATAAGACTGAACTTTTTCTGAAACATTCTGAAAACAATTAGACAAGTTAATAATTGCCATAGCCAGTAATTTAACATTCTCGATCTCACCAGACAGACACATGTGCCATTGATAACAATTTTTGCAGACCGTGATCAAGATGGTCTTTCTGGACAACAGTGATCAAACTATATTAACATTCCTTAACAAAATAAATAATATGTTAATATGTTAATGTGTCCATCTACCCCTGTGTCTAGATATATGTTCACCTCTGTAGCAGTTGACTGTCTTGGTCTCTTGGATATAGAATGAAGACAAGCTGAGAAAACAGAAAGAGAAACAGAGCAACCAGTCAGATAATAAGGTGGAGGCTGCACCCCCGATGCCAGGGCAGCTAGAGGAGATGGAGGCAGGTGGCGGAGAGCACAGCCCAAGGGATAATGACAACAGCATGCTGCACAACTACAGCACTGCACTGAGCCAGCAGCTGCAGCAGGAGGAAGAAGAGGGGGAGGAGGAGAGCGACAGGCAGACACCCGACAGCACCGACTTGGGTAAAAATGCCCTTTTCACCTCCGTATTCTTACTGTTGTCTCAAACTCTCCACTGAAACTGCCCTGCCTTACTGTAGTTAGGTGCTGGTGTACTGTCTCCCTCAAAACACAAAGGGCACGTGTTGTTAAAAAATGATTAACTGTAATCTTAAAAAAGGTTGTCAAAGAAGAACCTTTTCCCTGCTTTCTTTAAGAAAGTAGAGAAGTCACAAATGAGAGGAGGCCATTCAGCCTGTCTGACTCATTATTGCTCAGTGCTTGATTGATTCAAGCATCTCACCCAGCTGTTCTTGAAGAAACCCAAAGTACAGCACCCACATGGGCTGTGAGCCACCCTCCTACAACACCTTGGGTAAAGAAGTGCCTTCAGTTCTCAGTTTTAAGTTTCATTTCCACATAATTTCCACCGATGTCCTCTAGTTGTGTTTCACTGACAACAACAGAGCTTCTACTATTGAACGGAATAGTAAGACATACTCCTCATTGAATACAGGGCTCACCTAAAAGCCTAATTCAGCATTCGTGCCTGAAGCAAAACCAGTACTGTTTGAAAGAGATGAAAATATTTTTGTCTTTGTGTTTTTGCAGACCAAACCAGAAAGAAGTCGAAGAAGCTTTGGCTGAAGAGGAAGCACCGTGTTGACCCCCTGAGCACAGACGAAGCCGTGTCTGAGAGCCAAGCCCCTCCGCCCCCTCCTGGTGAGCACTGATCAGAAGGACACTCTCCCATTGCCAGCGGAGTGGGGTTTGTCCTTGCTCCCCCAATAAAACCCGCTTCTTCAAGCCCCATTTTGATACATATTTTCTTTTAAGCGACAGGCACTGTCTATAAAACACGAAGGTATTTCAGAGATTTTTAACAAAAAGACACACCCATAAACAAGCGGTGAATCACATATCATTGGTTTGTGATGCCTTTACGCTGTTCAAAGAGTTTTTGAAGTGATTCTGAGATACAAAACATAGTTTTTGTAGTGATATCAGCTCAGCTATCCTACTGTAAAATGTAAGAAATAAGTAAGAAATTTATAATGCAAAGAAATTTTTCCCTTCAGAAAAAAAAACAATTTAAATAGTTCGTTTTAGACAAGTAAATCAGAGGGTATTAAATCTCAAGCCTGATCGCTTTGTAGAAGGAAAATGTTCTCTCCAGAATTCTGCTGGAATTACATACAGTATGCGAGACAAACGGGTTCACAAAATTGTGTTGTTTACGTTTCTTTTAGTTGGATGGGGTACCCCCAAAGTTACTAGACTTCCCAAACTCGAACCTCTTGGTGATGCACGACATTCGGGTAAATGTATCAGGTGTTCATCGGCATGTCTTTGAGCTCCCATCGAGGCCCTCCATGCTGACCATGCTGTATATGCTTGTGCACGTGCTGAGGGTTGTTCCTGCATTCATCGCCATGACAATTTCCTGCCTGCCTTTATATTTAACAAACTCACTAATCCTTTTTGAGCATTTTCAGTGACATTTAACTAAAATGCATGCCTCTTTTTCTCTTTTACCTCCCCTAAATGTAAGTTTAGCACTTCACAATTTTTGCATTGAAGACTATGACCTTAAGTGCTTTATTCACCTCAGAATCCACAAGGAAATACATAATGGAAGTGAACTAGCAGTCTACTTAAGTCATTTCCGGTAATTATTTGTGATCAGAGCACAGGGGCACTTTAGGCTTCTGGGTGTTTCTGAATAAAAGAGGAAAAAAGTTCCTATTGTTTTTCTCGATATTGAATTCGCTATAATTATAATATTGATTTATATATAAATATGATTATTTTGCCACAATAATGGCATTTCAAATCAGAAAATGGAGTGTACTGTAGGGAAGAATCATATTGCACCAGTATCCTTAGGAATTGTCCTAAGCTATTTGTGACATAATGTTTGTGGATCATGTAGATGAAGAACTTCAAAACAAAGAGTTCTGTTAAATCAACTGCGTGTCCATCAGGACTAGTAGTGTGTGTATTAGGTTTATGGATTGTGCATGATGTCATAGTTACATCTAAACACCTGGAGTTTAGGGCCTTGACAGTCCCACCTGATTTATATCATATCCTGAGCATTAGTGCTGGTATCAAATATGGACATAAAAGATTTTAATCTGCAAGTCTATATAGCTGCAGTTTAAACTGATTCTGCAATGTATAATCCACAAACTAATCCTTAAAGTCTAGCATAAGCTTTAGAAAGAAGAGTGTGATTGACATCTAATTACACTATAGAGCAGATTGGGTTTCTAAAATAAGCACAAATAAAGCACTTTCCTAATGGCTAGTTTACCAGTTTAGTTGGTAGAGTATTGCGCTAGTCATGCAAATAGAGGGTTGGATTCTCCTCCTAGCCCCAGCCTAGCTACAGTATCTGCCAGGCCAGTGCCATCATAAAGGGCAGTTACCTTCATTAATGCCATTATGCTCCAGTAGCTGTGCTGGCCATTCTTGTATTTACTTCAAAATATTCACAAGTATGACAAATGCCATTTTCTTTTCAGTTCAATTCAAAGGGAACTCAATTCACTTCTGTTTCTTTCCAACCCATATACTTCTGAAGGTTGAGCACCTTTTCATATCAAATTTGTGTTGACATTGCATGCATCATAGCAGCAGATTAACAATGAGCAATATTAACATTGCAATATTATTAATACAATGTGCAGAGGAACTGCTGACTCAGCTATTGATTTGTGTTCTTTTTTTCCCTCTTCACAGATTTCTATGGTAAACCCCTTCCTCCTGTCACAGTTAGGCAAAGACCTAACAGTGACGCTCATGATGTCATTTCCTAGTTCCTCAGCGATTGTTCTCTTACTCTGACAAATCACTTACAGTACCTTGTGCTTTTTGCATCTTCACATTCAACACGCCTTTGGGCAAGACTTCATTCTCTGCATCACCATGCTGATGAGCAGCTGATGCCACTTCCACAACAGGACATTGAACAGAGGGCCGTCTGATTTCCCCAGAAGAACCCCATTTCTGTGCTTCACTGGAGTTTTTAAGCTGAAAAACTTCATGCAAATCAACCTAGTCCTAAAGTATAATTTATTTTCAAAAGTATACCTCCAACAAAGAAATGTGAGAAGGAATTCTTCATGAAGACTTTCACATCTCTTCACATTGTCTGGACTTCAAAAAGCACACAACAAAAAACGTAAATAATACTTGGGCCAACATACTGTATTTTACTTTTCTACTGCTTTAAACCAGTATTTGTACAGACTAAGGTTTCTGTTTTGTTTTCACTCTCTTTTATATCTTAATAAATGTTTTAAAGTATTTGTTTACAGCAGCTTGAATTGATCAGATGGGATGCACTCTAATCCTTTGTCATTTTATCGTTATCTCTTTGTACAAAAATGTTTCCTTTCAGACACATGTGATGAAAAACTGACATTTAACATGATTTTAAGACTAGCTTCAGTGTAATGTGAAATAATGAAAATGTTTATTTGCACACCTTGCTTTCTATATGTAATTGATAACCCATTCATTCATGTAAATAGATCAGTTGATTTGGATAAATTGCATACTGTCACCTACTTTAAGCAAAATGTTTTCTGTAACAATTTGATTTCTGAAATGACTTTATTTTTTTAATTTTGTACATCATCTTTTTTTTAAGAAAAAATTCTTAAAGCACACAAGTTGCATATTTTGTGCCCGAGATGTGATGTCAGGTTTTCTGAGCACTGACATGTTTCTAAGTAATAAGAAGGCACAAGCAGAGCATGAGGCGGTTTTGTGTGAGGCGCCTCATTGACAATGTAGAATTCTTTTTAAACTAGTTTATGATTGCTTTAATTGCTTTATTTTAAGCCACATTGTAGGTTTCTGTGCTTTAAGTGTCATTTAAAAGACAGATTGGGAGTACCAGACTTTAAATGGGGCGGGGTGGTGGCTCTGTGGCTAAGGATCTGTTCCTGTGGCTGGAAGGTTGCCTGTTCAAATCCCGCGGTCGGCAGAGGAATCCTACTCCATTGGGCCCCTGAGCATGGCCCTTAACCCCACCTGCTCCAGGGGCGCCGTACGATGGCTGACCCTGCGCTCTGACCCCAAGCTTCTCTCCCTATATGTGTATCTGTGTCTCATGGAGAAAAGCTGGGGTATTCGAAAAGATGAATTCCTAATGCAAGAAATTGTATAGGGCTAATAAAGAAACAGTACATTATATTATTACATTACATTATAAATGAATCGATCGATTTAAATGCAGCAACAAAAACATTCTTCAAAAAAACCTGAGTGAAATTTTAAGTAAATATACCAAAGGTAAAAGAGCACATAAAGCAGATTTTAGGAAAAGGTGTATTCTTGTAAAGGCCTCTGCTCTGCGTGTACAGCATGGCAAGGATCAGCTCAACATGGACATCAAGGACACTTCAGTGAGATCTCAATGCATCTACTGTAAGTGTTATAGGCAAAAAACAAATAGAGATTTAGAGACATGACTGCCTCAAGCCTTTTCAACACAACAAAACAACATAACACATAAAAATGCAATCAGGAACTAAGTGTTCTCTTACTGATGGAAAAGAGACTAACAAGAACATCAAAATATACAGTATTTTGTAAGTGTATATGCTATATACTGTACAGTAAAAAAGTGTCCTGCAGTTTGGTCAATTATGAAGTAATCACCTATTTGAATTCTTTGTAGATCTGCTGAATACACACAACTACAGCCAGTGTAGGATATGGTACAACTACACATGAAACTTGAAATTACACTTTTAAGAGTGAAATACAAAATGTGCTTATTCAGTATAGAATTTGTTTTATCCTTTGATAGAGCTGCAGACTAGATGTAACGTGTATCATAGATACCAAACAAAACCAAACAATACTCCAGATATAATATTTTGCTGACACTTCTGTTTAAGTCTGTGATATTTCTTGTACCCCCTACAACTGTAAGAGTATGCCAATTAAAATATAAAAGTGCTCTTAATCCCTGCAACTTGCTCAATAAAACATATCAGATCAGAGAACTATATACTTTTAAGGCTGTTACATAAGCTGGTTGGACAAAACTTATTTAAAAAATATTTTACATTTGAATTTCTTTTTGAATTTGTATACAAAATATTGTTTTGCCCTGGGTTCTTTTTTATGCAAAATAAATAGGTTAGCATCAAAATTCACAAGGAATTAGTAATGAATGTCTTGCTGTGTGCTGTGTTTGGTTTCTAAGCAACACAGATGCTATTTAAAGTAAATGATATGCTCCGTACTGTTTTTGTAAATCTGTTCATTTTTTACTGTAAATGCAAATATTGTGTTCATTTTATAATATATATTTTGTATGACTTAAGTGAAAAGGTTATGGTACATTCCACACACTTTATCATAGCATAAGATTTTTGCTTGATTTTAATACACTTATTTTTGCTTGGAGATAAGCTGTCTTTTGTCTATGATTAATTAAACTGGAGTTCACCTTCACGTTAGATTTTATTTTATACACCAAGTGGTAGTTGTACATTATTATCTAAAAATGTTCAATCCTTTATGGCAACAGAGATTTTAAAATAGTTTTGTTGCTAGAAACTTTGTATCTAAAAAGTTTTCAGATGATCAAAATCAGATCGGTTTACTCTAGAGCTACTCACGTCACATGTACATTTAAGTTTAAAATAAATGCGGGGCATATTTGATGCTTACGTGTTTTAAAGGAGTTTAAAGGTGGAATTAATTTAGATTAGAGCGGAACATATGTGTATAGTGTGGTAGCGGTGGGGTCACAAATAATGACGGACAATGTGCGGCCATCTAAATTGTCCCCTGTCAGACTGAAATAAGCTGCATTTTTAGAAGTAAATTATATACATTTGGAAAATATAGAATGAAATGTTCTTCGGCTTTTATTGCAGTGGAGTACACCACTTACTTTTCCTGTCTAGTCGATGTTCAAACGTTTTAAGTGTTAAATGCAGACAATTTCTTCATCGACAGCTAGACCGTGATATTCATAAACACAAGGGATATAAAACACACGGAGGTACTGGGAAATGTGTAAAAACTCAGGTAAGAGAATGTTATGAATCAGTAAGATACCATTCGAGTTTAAGATGGTTTTAAAAACGGTATAAAATCAACGGGACTCCCAGAATGTTACGATATTAAATACGGCAATACAACATTAGATGAGCAATAAGTGGGCAAACATCTTTAAACCAAGATACAAGTGAGCATTTTTATTTAGCTTATACAGATCCGCAAGTGGTGCTCGTTGAAATCGAAATGTTGCTTAAAATTTAAGTTTGTAAAACCCGAGGCTGTAATGTTTAATACATGGTAGTCTTTTTTTAATTAAACTAACCAACCCCATAACCTTTTTTTTTACGTTTGTGTACAATTCATTTCCAGAGCAACTCGTATATATATATTTTTTTTTCTCTCGGCAGGGGAACACCCGTCCTCGGCGGCAAGTGTGTGAACGTGTGCTGGAGCACTTCGATGAGCTGTACTATGCGGAGCTCGGTCATGTGTGGGCTAAAGCCAGGTTTCTCTTTTCAAATTCACTGCTATATATTTGATCGAATATCTTTAAATATATGCACCTTCTTCCTGACTATTTAATCGCCGAAGTATCGTAGCGCTCTCTGCTGTTCATGATTGGGAATGTATTAGTTATTGCGATTATCTTAAAATGGGTGATTGCCTTAGAGCAACGATCTAGCTCAACAAGTATCCAGTCTGAATAAAGTCAGTCTTTACATCTTAGTCGTATATTAAAAGCAGAAAAAAACGCATGCAATATATGTCCTATCTGAGCAGATTTGCTGAGTGTCTGTTATCAATGAGATGCCTTCGACAACATCAGCAGTCATTGGACCTCTGGCTGAAAACTCCTTCCTTAAGAAACCAAAAATAACCTGATTTTGTTTTGTTATTGTAACCTGTATTTCTTAACATTCATCCACATCCTGGTATTTTCTTAACGTTTATTAAAGTACCACACACACCATTTATGAACTCTGATGATGTTCATGTGTTTACATATCACATTTATGGATGTAAATATCTGTAATACTTGCACAGATCATCATATAGCTCCATAATCCCTGATCAGCATAAATTGAATATTGTACATTTTCTTGCCTTGTGAAGCAAACAGTGTCCCTGATCACATGTTCACTGTTTCTGCTGTCGATCAGAGTGGAATTGATCAGTGTTACCGATTTGTCTTAAGCTGAGCTGCTGGTAGGATGTTATACTCAGGAGGTGAGAAGCAAATTAGCACATCTGTGATACAAAAAATGAAGAATAACAACAATGAAATAATTGAAATGTGTATTATTTTCAAATATATATTTTATGTGGCCATTTGTTTTGAAATTGCATGTTATAGTTGTTGTCTTGTAGTCATTAGTGTAAGAAACAGACTAACTCCCTGCTGGCAGAAGCAGTAAATGACTCTACAGTATTTCTTGCTGTCCGTTGCTTCAAAGCACCAATATTTGCTTTAATATATAGTTGTGGGCTCTGGCTACTGACTACTGACTGTTGTTATTGACAGGTTCCTTCAAGTACCTGCAGATTGCAGTGATAATTTGTACCCTGCATTTATGAATGGACATTAAATGTGGACATTTATGAATGGACATTAAAAGGACATTTTTCTGACTTTTCACTCCTGTTTTTTCAACATGTCACTTAGGAACATCTCTTGCAGAAATTGCTTAGTTACATAAAGCTTATGGTTAGGTACATCCACCATAACACTTCAAAAGTTCCTGCAAGTAAAGCCCTTACTGAGATCTCTTTGCGTTCTGTCCAGGGAGGTGCTGCTGCAGCCCCAGTGCTGGCAGTACGCGGTGATGCTGAACCGGTTCCGTCTTTCCCACAAGCTGCAGCAGCAGCTACAGACCCTGGGGTATTCCAGCCTCCTGCCCGAAGGCTCCAGCTCCCTGCAGTGTTTTATTCACCAGGAGCCCCTGAGGTTCCCCTCCCAGCATTATCGGCCTGGACAGCTCAAGCAGTACTACCTCCTGAATGCAGCCTCCCTGCTGCCAGTGCTGGCCCTGGGGGTGAAGGACGACGAAACTGTGCTGGATATGTGTTCGGCTCCTGGTGGCAAAGCAGTGGCAATCCTGCAAAGTGCCAGCCCAGGTACTGCACACCCTGGTTTCCTTTGTTCACCCATGATTTCACGGATTGCCTGACGTCTGTCTTTTTTTTTGTAAATGGTCAGTGTGTTAGAGCAGCTGAATGTGTCATCAGTTCAGTCAGTAGAGTGTCTGTGTGTCGGATCCAAAGAGCATATTGAGCGTGTGTGTCAGATCTGCGGAGCATTTGGAGTGTCTGTGTATCAGATCTCTGTGGTGTGTGTGGAGTGTCTGTATGTTGGATCCAGCAGCTCAGTAGACATGCAACCCACACAATAAGCTTTTTTCTTTTTTTTCAGTTCTGTATTTGCAATGAATAAATGCCACATAATGTCACATTGCAGAGGTCAACTCATAACTCTGTGTCACCACAATTGGCTTGAAAGCATTTGGTCTGTTGCAGTCATCGACGGAGTTTTATCTTATGCCTTGCTTTAGGCTGGAAAAAAAAGATGACTGAGGACTTAGACCGACTGTCAGAGGCTCCATGATCGATCGGTCAATTGTGGTCCTTCAGCTGGTGACTAATGAAGTAGAGTGCAGGGGTGTCAGATCTGCTGAATGCTCAGTATGCCAGTTTGTCAGATCACTGGAGTTTCACAGTGTCTAGAGCTGTGGGTTCTGGGTGCGTCAGTGTTTGAGAGTCTGAAAGCTGAGCTTTCAGTGCGTTTGTGTGTCAGAGCTGCTGAATGTGTGTGGCGTCGGGGCATCAGAGCTGTGGCGTGTTGGGAAGTTGGCTGTCAGGGGGCCTCTTCTCACTACAGCATCTAGTACTGCAGTGTCAGGGGGTGTTGGACTCTGACAGCACTGGCTGGTCTTTTTTTTTTGCTTAGAAAAGTCAGCAAGAGAAATATCTTATGACAGCTTTGTAGAGTTATATCTTTAAGCAGCTATGTCCTTGTGAAGCCTTGCTCACCTTTCTTGTATAATAGTAAAATGTTTTTTGTTTGATTTAAAAAATAGGATCTGAAAACTGTTCCTGCTTTATACACTTTTAGGGGTCTTTTCAATAGTATTTGTAAATTTTCTGGAAGAAGCCTTGTACCCAGAGCTCTTTCAAGGGAATCCTCACAATAACATATCGCATTTATCTAGTTCATTAATGCCGTTTTATTTGGAATTAATTGGTGACTCCTATAACTTGTCAGATGTACTTTGTACTCAGATGTACTCAGATGTCCTGAGACGACTGTGACAGCTTAATGGATTTTTTTTTTAAAGACGGGCCTAGATGTTAGTCAGAAACTTTCTCGTGTCTAATCGTGTTCCATCTGTAAACTTTCTTCATTTTTAAAACATCAGAAACAAGCAGGTCCTGTGAGTGAGAAAAAAAGGAGATTATTTTTGCAGTCTATTAAAGATCCTGATCGATAAATTGACAACATATTCATAGCCCGCATGAATTCATTTGAAAGGCCCTGTAGGTGTCATTTTTATAGAGAAACCAGTTTCTAAGGCAGAATTTTTTTACTTGCTAGAGATTAGAGCAAGTGCATGATATTGATTGAAAAACATAATGTCCTGATGGGGCTTTGGAGTAAAATGACTAAATGAGATGTAAGCAAAATAATAAATTGATACCTACAAATCAATACACTTCCACAAAGTAATTTATTATTATATTTAAGGAAATGGATGAGCCTTTGTCTTTATGAAACCAGAACATGTGCGGGAGATTGTCATTGAAGCCGCGCAATGTTTCTGAATTGTAGGTCTATTGCTTTGCAATGAATTGGACTGTCAGCGGTGGAAATGGCTGGCTGAGACGCTGGAGTCCTTCGTCCCCAAAGACTTGAGTGATGTTGTCAGGGTTTCTAATCTAGATGGAAGACTCTATGGACAGATCGAACTGGGAGTATATGACAAGGTAAGAATGAATTGCAGCCTGTGCCCTTGGTATAAAGTTGCCAGATTTTTACATTAGACAGAAACGTGCATTATTCCATCCTCTCTCCAATGCCAAGAAGCAGCATGAACAAAATAAAGTTAATGTTATTTTTAATAATAATAATAATAATTGCTTACATTTATATAGCGCTTTTCTGGGCACTCCACTCAAAGCGCTTTACAGGTAATGGGGACTCCCCTCCACCACCACCAATGTGCAGCAAACAGCATTGTGCGCCAGAACGCTCACCACACATCAGCTATCAGTGTGGAGGAGAACAGAGTAATGAAGCCAATTCATAGATGGGGATTATTGGGAGGGACAATGGGGAATGTGGCCAGGACACCGGGGTTACACCCCTACTCTTTTCAAGAAATGCCCTGGGATTTTTAATGACCACAGAGAGTCAGGACCTCGGTTTTATGTCTCATCCGAAGGACGACACCTGTTTACAGTATAGTGTCCCCATCACTATACTTTGGCATTAGGACCCACATGGACCACAGGGTGAGCACCCCCTGCTGGCCCCACTAACACCTCTTCAAGCAACAACCTTAGTTTTTCCCAGGAGGTCTCCCATCCAGGTACTGACCGGGCTCACACCTGCTTAACTTCAGTGGGTTGCCAGTTGTGAGTTGCAGGGTGATATGGCTGATGGCTATATATGTTATATATGATATGTTCTTTTATGTGATGGAAGAAAGGCATCTATTGTCACATATTGGAGATTCAAGTGCCCCACAGACAAAGTAGTGTCTAGTATACTATAGTACATTATTGTGTATATTATACCATAGTCTGGGTGCAAGGACACATATCTGTGCATTTAATGGTTATCCATGTATGGCCTGATAGAGAGGCACAGAACTGTATTAGAACTTCTACACTCACCTGCTACAGTCACCAGTGATATTTAACGTGTCACTATTGCAATGCAATTAAGCATTTTGGGACAGCCTTGCACAGTATTCCATTAACCCGTAGTCCTAGAGGATGAAAAAAAGGTATTTCTATTCAGTAACATGAAGCCCAAATCTCAGGATCCCCACAGGTGAGATTGTCTAATCACACCTGCATTACTGAGCTAATCCACCAGGGGGAAATGTTGAGTAAAGTTTGGAACGGCTGGCAGAATGTGTGACAGTTTTGAGCTGCAAGGGCCTGTTGTGCATTTAGGTTCGTTATGTCTTGCTACACCAGACTCCTGTTATAGAGAAGGGGTCACTCCATTCTCCTGCTTTAGCTGTCATTCATAGTGTTGTGAAAACCCAGCTACTGGGGGCTTAAAGATTAATAGGGGTCAGCGGGAAGCCCAGTATGGTAGGCTCTGCTTTTGTCACAGTTTTTCTATTGCACCTCTGCTTGTCCTTCTGCCTCCAGCTGTCATTTTGTTAGCGCTTGCCACAGTCCTGAGACAATAAGTATGACCTTTTTTTTTTGTGGTGTTGCATTTATCTTTGTTACCAGTCCGAGAACACCTCAGTGGACAATCTCATCCGTCACTCACAATCGCTGCAAATTATCAAGGTGTCATTGTCCAGCCAGGTCCTCACTACAGCTGCGGCTGAGCCTGTGGTTCTTAGTCCTTCACCACACATCTGTTAAAGAGCCCAGAGTCTTTACATGGCATATGCAGAAACTTGGGTCAGAGCCATGTGTAAAACCTGTGGAAAAATACAGCACAATAAATAACAAAAACAAGAGCAGTTCTTTGCTTTGTCTTTTAGTTTGTTTTTGGAGAGTGATAATCTTCTGCCCTCCTCTCTGTTTGTAGTTTAACATAACATAGCATTGAGAGCCATGTGGTTTCTTTTGTTTTAATCATACCCAAGAAAAATATAAATTTAGGTTGGTTTGATTAACACTAATACAATTGTACTGAAGCATAAATATGACTTATTGCAGGCAGACAAAGTGCAATTAAGACAGAACGTTAGCTAATGTATAAGTGTATATTCAAATAAATAGCTCTAATTAACACAAGTATGAAAAGGCTAATAATTTTCTCTGTGGATATGTGTGGCCAATCCTTTGGCTCTCTCTGGGAGTAGAGCTGAGGATACGGTTTCAGTACAGGGATTCAATTATTTACAGATTACCAGGTTTAAATAGGTTGGTCGGCTGGGACTAAGGAAGTCAGCATGTCATTGGGGGTCTCCATGAAACAAATGAGCTCATCAGTACACAGCCATCCAGACTGTCATTGTGATCTATGCTAAAGTCCTCTCTTGTTTCTGTGAAGCGATGAAAGCAATATTAATACCTTTTACTGAGTTTCAAACCGTGTGTGTTCAGGGCTGCTTTGCAGTATAAGTAATACATTGTATCCTGGTCACTGGGTAGGACATTTAAATTTCTTGTCTGTTAATCCCCCCCCCCATTTGGTTAATTGCTATTTAAAAAATCCCTTTCTTCATCTTTGTTAGCCACTCCTTTCTGTTAGCATAGTGTTTATGTTGTTAACTCCTTAGGGAGTCCAGCAGTAAGTCAGGTGTTACAGAACCAAGCAACACTATGCCGTTTCTCCAGTGGCTAATTTCCTTTTGTGGCATTAAGTAAGCAAATCGAAATTTTACCTGAATATGCAATTCTTTCACACAGAAACAAGTGGCTGTAATAACAAAGCGGTGTGCTCAGAACTAAGCTGCGGTTCACTGGAGTCCATGAAGCGACTCAGATTGCAGAGTGCACTGACTAGAAATAGTGCTGAGTTGCGCTTTTTGATTTAAAAAAAAAAATCTTTTAGATGCAAATACAGTAGAGAAGACATTACTCCTCATAGACATACACGCACATGCTGGGTGAGTCACGCTAAACCGACCTCAGAAAACGAGTTCTCATCCCAGTTTGGCATAGATGTTGGTACAGGCTGGGGTCCAATAACTACCCTCCTATATGGCAGAAAGTGGCCCAGGTTTTTGGTACTGCCACACTACAGCTCCATCTGCCCCAGCCTCCCCTGCCTACATGCAGATACTAATGTGATAGACACCAGCCAAACTGAATCTTCTCTTCAGCGAAATAATTAGACTTTTCCACTGGGAGATGGAGCCGAACGCAAGAGGCTCCACACTGGCGCCGATTGAAAATCATATCTCATGTAAGGAATGGATATCCCGAAGGCCTATATTTTAATCTTCTTGTAAGGTGAGTTTTAAAGGCTGTTTGGAATTGGAGTCTCCCTTCCTCCTCCGTCTGCATGAAGGTCTTTGTCTCTTGCTGGCTCGGTATGTCTTCTCTGCAGTGTGAGTGGTACATCTTTGAGAAGGGCAAGTGACTGGAATTTAATGCTGCGATGGAGTCATGAGTTTGAAAAAGCACAGTAAACTGAGCGTGCTTGAGGAAGAGCACAGTCCTTTTTTGTACGTTCACTTGCATATACCTTAAAATCTGCACTGGGCACAATAAGGTTTTCAAGCTCGAGGTGCTGATTTTGTCTCACTAGGTGCTGGTGGATGCTCCGTGTTCCAATGACCGAAGCTGGCTCTTCTCCTCCCAGCCTGACCGAGCTGCAGTTCGGATACAGGAACGAGCAACATTTCCCATCCTGCAGGAACACCTACTCAGGTAAATTAAAGCTGCTAAGGAAATTGAGATGCTGAGCACTTCACTCTCTCTAATTTAAATTGTTGGTTCCAATCAGGTAGAAAACAATGTCAGATGACACATACGTTTCATAAGTAAATTTACATTTATGCATTTGGCAGATGCTTTTATCCAAAATGACTTACAATTGCTTCTGCTCAAGGGGTGCAGATAATGCATAAACAACAATAAAAACATGGAAAATGGTAATATCGTTGGCCAGGATCGTTGCCAGGATGTTAGAAAGTGCTTAGGAGTTTCAATGCTGCTTGACAGGGAGTAGTGACATAAAAGCAGAGACAGTAAGTAAAGATTGCTCACAAGCTTCCGGGGTCAGAATATCCTCCAGAGATGAGTTTCAGCTAGGAGGGTGAGTCAGTTTGGAAGTCTGGCTGAGGCAGGTAGGTCATTCCACCACGGGGGTGGCACTTCAGCTTTGGCATTACTAGTCAGAGGAATCAGAAATAAGTGCTCCAACAGGAGCACAGGGCTGTAAGTAAAATGAGAACTTGAGCTGGTGGTGTTGTATGCCTTGCAGAAAATAAGTAAGAACTAATTGCAAAGGGACAAAAGTCAGCAGACTATTTTGTGTTTGTGTTTCTTCAAAGTACAGGACTGGTACCTTAAAATTCCTCTGGTGGGAGACTTGGAAACTTCTAGGTGATCTGCCCCTTTCTATTTCTGGTGCTCTCAGATTGACCAGTATTTATCTGTACCCTGCAAACTGCCACACCACAGGAGTGAAGCAAGGAGAAAACAGCTGATTAATTGGAAAATGGTGCAGGTGCATTCTGCATTCTTCTGATCTTCCAGTGTTGCCTCCTGTCTTGTTTCTTGTACACATATAGTGTAGAAATTAACAACCCAGGACTACGATGTGCCACTCTTTATTTTAACTTCTAACTCCGAACCCGTCAATTCCTACATTCACCATAGCCTGTTACCCTGAGCAACCATTAATCCCGTTCTGCCCTCCACCAGTCAACATGCAGTTTCACTGCTGACGCACACAAATATTACATCCCCTTTCTTTTAATTTGAGTTATGGACTAACACAATAATAACTACCTCTTGTATTCCTAATGAGCTACTTTGTAAAAATTTGGTTAAGCAAGGTTTAGTGAGCTCTTCACTTAACATCAGGATCATAATGCTATAAAAAACCAACCAACCAAACAAACAAACAACTCTTTACAGCAATTTAACATGGCTATCACCCAGCTACTTGCTGACATCAGTATATTTCAACTTCTGTGTAATAATACACCTCCCTTTCTTAACATGTTTGGTCAAGTTTCATATACGTTTTAGTATCCATCACGTAAAGATAATTCATCCAGAATTGTCACTTCATGGGACCTCTAGGCACTGTGGCAGTTCTGTATTTGAGTCACAAGAGCTCATTGGACCAGCTTATCCAGGTTTCCTTGGCGTGAAGGGGACCTCATAACTCACCCTCCTGGATGGGACATTAGTCCATTGCAGAGCCTATCCCCAGAAAACGCTGGTCCCCATTCATACAGCTGGGGTAACATACCTTTCTTAAGGTACAACAGCAGTGTCTGCAAACAGTGACTTGAACCCACAACCCACCAGAAGAAGAGTCCAGAAACTTACCCTCCATGCTAGACTGCTCCATAATCAGACCTGTAAATGAGGTACACCAACACAGAAATACTACAACAGCAAGAAAGGGCTTTGGATGTCCATAAGGTTTCATAATATAAGACATTTATTGCTCAGGCTTTTGTGTGGTTTTTTCCCCCTCCCCCATAACAACAAAGGACTGCTCAGCATGCAGTGTGCTGTAAGTGGAGAACAGAAGTGGATGTGAATTTCATATTTAGTCAGCACTTCAACCGGAGAGCAAGATTAATATTAGAAGTCTTTTGTCTTATTAGAGCTGTGTATCATGTCCCCTATTTCCTCCTGGAAGAAATCAATAGTATATAAAACACAAGTGATCTCAATTCAATATCCAGCATGTAAAATCCAATTTGTGAACTTCAGTCCAAAGACGGCATGCATCATTCCCTGCGTTTATACAGATTTAATTAAATAAGCCTCCCATTGTAGAGCCCTAGGGCTGGGAACTGATGAGTAAATTACACAAGCCCCAAATGTCATACATTCCCAGCTTGTGGAGTATCTTAACATGTAGCAGGACGCTGTGGTGCTTATCTTTTAACACACTACTGACCAAAGCTATATCTGTCCTGACAGAATAAGGGTTTATTTTGAGATGTTTTGTGTCATTGTGTCATCTGCTTTGACTTTTGGAACTGGTGCAATCTTAGATTTCCTCCTTCTTCGGTGTCATCTCCTTCAGTCTGGTCTGAATGTGTTTTCAGAGTTGATATCACTGGTTTGACAGGTTAAGAAGCTTATTTATAAGACAAAAAAAAGTATTTTGTCTGAAACGCCCAACACACATCTGTGTAACCGTCCAGAATTACAAATTAGAATTCTGTTATTACGTGCTAAGGGCTGCCCTTCATCTTTCAGCAAGGTCCTCAGCTTGGATTTGTGTATAAATTGCTGAGTCCAAAAGGTTTTGTTCCAGAACCATTTAATCCGATTGCCTGTATCTTGGCGTCGGGCACATGCACTTTATCCACACCAAGCGAAGGACTAGTGTGGAGACTCATGTTTTAATTTTTACATTCCCTGTCTATACATCACGCGCTGCTCCACAAGGTCGGAGGATTGCATTTCCATTTGGTGGGGACTAATGCATGGTTAGGAGACCGCAAATTAAAAATGGCATTGCAAAGCCAATATATATCTTTCCTGACAATTTCTCCTTCACTGTTCCAGTCAGTGGTGTGGAGTGAAGCACTTAACAAAAACAGAACGAACAAAGAAAATCAATGTCACTGACAGCAGCAATCTCAAACTGCCTGTCTTTTTCTTATTTGGAGATTGGTGTCATCTTGCTCAAGGTGTTATATATTTATGAATTTGATTTAAGGTTAGATAATCTTAAAAATGTTTACCAGAAAGTGATGGAGAGAATGCTGTGTCTAGATGGCTAGACACAAACTGGCACAAAATTAAAACAAAAATTGTTTTGAACCCTTTTGTGTATTTTATTATTTATTAAGCCCTGGGATGTTCAGAATTGTTCTTACATTGTTTTTCCATTATACCATATTGGTTTTGAACAGGACATACTCGCATCAGGAGCAGCAGGTACAGAAGCAAAATGTATGGTCAGCTTGGACCTGTACTGTTCCAGACAACACAATATATGGAGATGAAATTGAAGGAAAAAATTGTAAAAAGGGATTTGCGTGAATTTGTATACCTTATTTTGCTGTTAAAAGTTCTAGTTTTTGTACTGAAGTAACATATTACGTGAAAAGCATCCACTGGGCAACAACACACAAATACTGATTTCATACTTTGAAAAAAATGGCCCCCATCATCTCCTGTCTCTGTCCTTTGTCACTAGTGTTTGTTCTTTCTCTTGCCATTTTTGCCCATTATTCAACGTGTATAGTTTTGAGTTGTGCAGTCACATTTGCCTTCCTGTTTGCATCTGTATAAAGATTCAAGTCTGGGGATGGAGATGACTGATGATCTTTTCTGGGGGGAATTTTTTATCAGTGAGTTACAAACAGGTTTATTAATAATATTAAAATTTATATTATCACCCTATAGCTATCAACTCATTTTTTATGCCGGTTCTTTATACATAGCACACAAGAAGTATAAAGGAGTACTGCACAAACGTGCTGGTAGCTAGTAATCATATTTGTTTTGCAACAGGTTTTGTTTTGTAAATTTGCTGGAGGATTGAGGCCTTTCACTGCCATTATTATATTGTTTTATAGGTTGCAGTTTGACTGAAGCCATCAAATAACAATTGAAGAACAGTTGTTGCTGTAGTGGTCCCACTAGATCAGAAGCACATGCAATTTCCATTGAGCTGAAAGTGAAATACAGTTTAAAATATAAGAAAATACATTTCCAATAAAAGCTGTCTCTTGAATCCACCCAAAGCCAATATAGCTGTCCTTTTACAAAGGCCTCAGGTCTACTGAAGAGAGATTGAATGGAAGCACATAGAATCAATGGCAGAATGTTAAGTGGTGCATCCTTCTTCAGAGCAGTAATGCACAGTATCTCTGTCCTGCAAGCTTGCTTTTATTATTTTATTTTGCATCAGTCATCTAAATGGCACAACGATTGCGATTGCGTTTCTGTATCATAGAGGTTTTATTACTTATTTGTGCATAGTACAATATCGGGGAGGTCACAGTATTATTCATTTTTAAAGTGCTGTTTCTTGAAAGTGCACATACTATACTGTGCATGTATTTCCTCTTGCAATACCAGATTTATTTTGTTTTCACAGCCTGCATATTCTGAGTGGATCCCAGAGAAGGGTTTTGATTTTTTGTAATTTGCTTTTTTGGTAGATCTTCCAGAATCTTACAGACAAAGACAGTGACACAGGCACTAATAATGTTATTAGTAATAACACTAATAATGTTATCTAACACCATTATAACTCTGGGAAACTGAGTTGTGTGTAATAGCAGGAATACTCAAGAATTATAAGTGGAAAAAGTAAAGATTTTTTATGGCCTAAAGATGTAAAGAAAAAAGATGGCAAAGAGCTTAAGATCCCTTCTTTTGCACAGAAGGAGCAGATACAGTATATGTGAGACCAGCACTGGCATCTCTTGGCAGAGACTGTAAAGGCAGGTACCGGAGAAATCGGATTAGCAGCTCTTGGATCCTTGAGGGCATCTGGCAGAATGAAGTGTTATACAGGTAGTGCAGCTCATATTGAGCAGGACTTTCATTTCAATACAGCAGATTTCATTCCCTTAACTTCAGATAGAGGGACAGAGATTTAGTTTTCTAATTAAGTCCCTGGAGGTTGGGTAGTAACTGTCCCTTTAGCTGGCCTTAAGTAGCTTTACTGTTGTTCCTGCTGGGCTTCAGTCCTCCTCAGGACGTGCCAGATCCCGCCTTGGCACAGGATCAACAGGGGAACCTAACAGTGTCAAACACCTGATTTGAAACATTGAGAAAACGCCTTTCTAAATTTTGGAAAGCAAGACCCATACAGAAGATTTTCTTCTGAGAAGGGAGAGTGCAAAGGGTGATACCTGGTCCTGTTTAGTTTAAGAGGGTGAGATCAGCAAATGGAAGAATCATTCTGCCTGGTTTATTTTATTCACTACATATTCACAATTCACAATCTCCAGATTTTAAATATAAAGGTTTTGAGTGAATGCGGCCTATCATATTACACTATAAATGTAAAGTGTGTTGCTGCTTTGCTAGATGGGGAGTATTGGTTACAGTAACAGCATCCATTAGGCAGGGATCAAGCCCCCCTGGGAGGTCAAAAGAGGAGGTATTAATTGCCTAGCAGTGTATTTATATTCATATAATTTAGCACAGGATTTGAAATGTATGGTAACCTGATGAAACAAAGTAGACTAAGAAAGGAAAAACAGACTTTGTCCCTTTTTAAAAAGCAAGTCACCTTTCATCTTGTGACCCCTAAATTGAAGACTTTACTTCTATCCGCCTATCTCACTGTTGAGCTGATGACAAGGGAGCTCAAATCAAGACTGAAGAATTGTGTGTCAGTGTACATCTGTTCATTTGTAAGTTGCTTTATTTAATTTAGGATTGTGGGAGTGACAGCCTATCCTGGCAAGCAACGGTCAGAAGGCAGGATACAGCCGGAATGGAATACCAGTCCATCGCAGACACAAATACGCACAAACCAGTGCCAGTGTTCCCAAAAGCCATTTGACCAGCCATTTCAGTATATGTTAAATCAGTGGTTCTCAAACTGTGGTACGCGTAGTGGCAGTGGTACGTGGCGTGCCGCCAGGTGGTAAGCCAAATGACCCTAGAATTGTGTTGTGTGCGCCGAAAAAATCGGGAAGGGTTTTCATATTTTGTAATTTTATACGTGTCGAATACGCAGCCTACGTACTACGATACAGTGCGCGCTAATACTTCAGTGGACACAAGAGATACTCTGTAATTCTATACCACTCTATAGGAATGCGTGCTACAGACGCAAGTGACCAATTGTATTTAAAAAAGCTACTGTATCTCCAGCAAATAGGGAGAAAGGAGAATGTGCGTGATTTTGGAACAATGCCAACGTTGTAAACACAGGAATGCATAGAAATGCATGCTATGAACGCTGGTGATCTTGTGAGCACAGGAAAGCGTGAAAAATTACAGAAAAATATTTAAGAACTGTTCTAAGTTAATTTGAGAAAAAAACACCGAGCGTCTCTGTGTTTCTCTCCCATGCCCATGAAATAAATACTTAAAATAAACACTGAAATAAAAACGGAAACGTGGAAAAATGCACGCTTGCGGATTGCTTAAGCAGGTAAGCCCCACACTATTATGTGTGGAGAAAAAGCTGCTGAAAAGCTCGACCTGTTGCCCCCCCCCCGAAAGACACGGTCATTCATAGAATTATTGAAATGAAGGATTATATCAAAAGTAAGCTGACAGCGCACGTTAAGATGAGCAGATGTTTTTCACTGCAATTAGATGAGTCTGTAGTCGATTTGGCCAATTTGCTCGTTTACATTAGATACGAGTTTGAGGGTACGTCCCGTGAGGACTTTCTGTTCTGTAAGCCGCTACCAACAGGAACTACAGGAGAGCACGTATTTCAGCTTCTGAATGAATTTATCGAAGAGAATGGCATTGACTGGATAAAATGTGTCGGAGTTTGTACAGACGGTGCTAGAGCAATGACGAGCCGACACAGCGGTGTAGTTGCACGAATTAGAGAGGTTGCTCCAGAAATTAATGGTTTCATTGCAACATCCACCACGAGACCTTTGCCGTCAAGAAAATGCCTGACGATTTAATATCTGTTAGACTCTGTTGTGAATTGTATCAAGGCTCGAAAAATTAATTAACATCTGCTTTGCTCTACTAAACAGGCTCACCCCCCTCACTGAAATGGTGCTTTTTATTTTTGTGTGTTGTTTTTTTTCTGTAAAACACTTTGAGAAGCCACATTTTAATATATCAAACAAAGTTTATTATTATAATATTTATTATATGTATGTGTGAGTGTGTGTGCACATGCGCTCATCTTGGTCATTGATAATTTCTGGGGTTCCTATGAGATGATGACTTGTAGGTGGTACTTGGATGCTTTGGTTGGATTAGGGGTGGTACTTGGTCCAAAAAGTTTGAGAACCACTGTGTTAAATGAACATGCAAACTCCACGCAGATAGAACCCCAGAAATTGAACGCATGGCCCTAGCACTGCGAGACAGCAGTGTTAATAACTGTGCCACTGTGCATCATTTCCTTTAATGTACAATATAATGATACTAGTTCACAACAAGGTAGTGTAGTTAGTCGGGTTCTGGACAGCTTGAAGGACATGGGCTCAAATACTGAGTGGGAAGCTACTGTTTGGACCTTAGAGCAAGAATGCTTCATGAACAAATGCATACAAATAGAAGTTGCTTTCCATAAAAGCTTCAGCCAAATGAACAGTATCTTGTTTACTCAGTTGGTTTGTACACAAACTAGGTGAAACTTATTGCTTGTTAATCTAATTCTGATGAACAGCGGCTTTTTATAGCTGTCCATTTTATTAAAAAAAACACACAAATCTATTGTATGGGCTCTCAAGGGGAGTCCGGGTGTGCAGCCTGTTGGGCCCAACCAGAAAGCAAAGACACGGGAACCTGCATCTGTTCCCTGGTGCGTTGCTCACCTGCGTCAGAGTTGCTTAACTGCCGTTGTTTTCCAGGTCGGCCGTGGCAGCCCTGCGGCCCGGAGGGGTGGTGGTGTACTCCACCTGCACGCTGTCCCAGGCAGAGAATGGAGGCGTGGTGCGCTCGCTGCTCGCCTCCTGTCCCCACGTCCAGCTCGAGGACCTTGGCGCTCTGAAGGACGGCCTGTCGCAGGAGTTTGCCTTCGCTCAGGCCGACCCCCACGGCCTCCTGGTCGTTCCTGCACACGGCAGGACCTGGGGACCCATGTTTGTGGCCAAGCTGAGAAAAATTCACTGAAACTCCAGTTCCATCCAAGCAACCATTTTCTAACCGCTAACCTCCGATTTAGGGTCACTGGGGAGCCGGAGGCTATCCCAGAAAACCAGAGGGCACAAGGCAGGGTACACACAGACACATTCTCACCATGGCCAATTAATCTACTGTGCCTGTATATCCTTAAACTGTGGAATGAAACCAGATCACCCAGAGAAAACCCACATGAACACTGGGAGAACATACAAACTCCACACAGATAGAATCTCGGGAATTGAACCCAGCACTGCAAGACAGCAATGCTAACCACTGCACTGCCCCCCCACCTCCCCAAAACTTCAACTCCTGGTTTCAGATTTTTCCTTGCATTTTTTACCTTGTCTCTAAACTCTAAAGTATCCTTGCAAAATAATCTGATTTATATACTGTATCAGTGTTGTCTTGTTAGCTGGTAATACATTTAAAATATATCAAGTGTATTGTATGGGATTTTCTGTTGTTTTTTTGTTAGTGCTTTTTGCCCTGGTCTTCTGCAACAGAAAAAAACAGCAGTGCTGAGCAGTGATTTCCAGTGTTTCTCAAATATGTTCTTTCTTTCAGACAAGATTAAGGACTGTTAATATGTTAAAACAGTAATTGTTGTGTTTTTTTCCCTAAATAAAGAAATAGATGCAGCAACGGAACATCAGCTAAAAAACACACAACAGCATATGGAAAAATCTGGATTAATAAAATAAAACAGAATTATGACAAGCTTAATGATTGTCGAAAAAACCAAGCCTACTGCTGTGAGACTGATAAAGTGAGAAAGAGCAGTTGATCTAATAGGACTTGTTTCAAATTTCTTCCACCTTTTTTTTTAGTAAGGTATGTGTAGGAGACATTTCCTTTGTCTGGGAGGGTGTCTGGAATAAACACAGTGGAGGCCAAATGGAGTTCAGACATTATGGTTTGCAGTACAATGTTAACAACACACACAGACATGACTTATTTCCACGCTTACTCAAAGCAACACAGTCCTGCTCCTCTCATTCACTCAGGGCACAAGCAGTGGTGCTGGGGAATGACACTGTTTTAACTACTGACAGTTACATCAGTCTTACTAAGTAAATGTGAATTTACACAGCTGTGTAGCCACTTGTCCTTAATACCTGTGAAACCTGAAAACTGTCTGGTACCTGCCACAGTATCAGGCTACTGCTTAATTCTACATTCCTGAAGTAGTCGGTTTATGTTATTTTAACCAGGCTGCATTGTGTCCACAAAGCAATTATGGCAGTAATATTTGTATATTATTAATTTCTAGAACAACAGCAAATGTGACACTCTCCCTTCAGTATGACGAAATCTTACAAAATCAGTTCTTTAGGTGCTGCGGATTTTGTACTACTATGAAGTGAACTAAACTGCCTCTCAATTTTCTTTTTCAGCAGTTCCTTTTGGGTACTAGACAGTATGTTTAGCCAGAACAAACTATACATGTTGTCAAACCCAAAACCTTGCCTTCTTTCATCAATTGGCTGCTAGAAAACAAAGGTTAAATGACCTGTATTCAATTAAGCTTTCTTATATTCTTGTTTCTGTAGTCAGAAAGCCAACAACACAAACATGACTTTTCGAGATCTAATAGCTACTGTAGTTTTTTTTCCTCATTGGCATTGAAAATCCTTGACATCATAAAGTTTGTCCTCTGTCAACTTCATATCTGTTTTTGAAAGCTGAAGGAAATGGTGTCAGCCTATGTTTTTTTTTCACTCTCTTGTCACAGTTACTGAAGTGTGGAATCAATACAGAGGAATCTAAACTCACACTGTGAAGCTATGATTTTTTTAACCATGTTTAATAAAATGGCAGAACACAGCTCAACGTTTTCTTTTCATTCAGCGTGTTTGAGCTTTTTGTGTTGCTCATAACTCTTTTCACATTCACATCCTGTCCAAGTCTTATCCTGTGAGTGCATTCTACCACATTCCATGTGGGTATTTGAGTGACTGTTGTTTCTGAAATACAAAGCTACTTCATTGAATGGCAGCTAAGAGAGTGATCTTAGCAATTCCTTATAATTTGCAGAATACAAGTGTGTAGCTGGCCAGCTGTAATGAGGGTGGTAGTTACAGTATATCTGACTTACCACTAAAACCTGTTTAGGCCTCTATAGTCTATGTATAGTCTAACATATGGTGTTTTGTCTAACTAATTAGTTAATTGGTGGAGGGTTTAGAAGCCACATTCTCACATGGGAATAATTAGTTGGAGGTTTAATGCAGGTCTTTGGGGGTGGACGAAATAGTTGGTTGAATATGGATGTTCTTAACGGGAGTTTAGGAGGGATAATGACAGACAAAGCCAGTTTCACCCAGGTTTTTCAATCACAATTATTACTGACTTGCTTAACATATATGTCTTGCATACAGCCTACTTCTCCCCCTTCTGTGGCCACACCAAGGTTTACTTTCTGAATGTAGTTCAAGACTTCTCATCCTCTGGCTGCCTCTTAAACAAGTAGGTTTAGTTTAAACTTAATACTTAAATCCTCAATAAACCTGTATTCACAGAGCATCTGATTTTTGGATGTTATTTCCTGTGAAATCTTGCTGTCCATTGTAAATCCCATGAGGTCAGGTTTTATGAGCCACCTGTTTAGAGGGAGGCCTGGGCTTTTCTCCTTTCTCAAAATCTCTTAACCAATCACTGCATTTTTCTGGTTTTAGCTGGCTGGCATACAAGCCAAAAGAAAGTCATTCATGCATACTGTTAAACCAAGCCTGTACAGTGGTTAGCAGTGCCACATAAAAGGTTAATGCAGTGCAAACAATAAGGATAATGTCTGCTGCATTTCTTAATCTGCTTTCAATTGTGTATTCCCTGTGGGTGTCTGGCTGCTGCATCTGGAAAGCTGGAGCCGATGTTCAATACTAAAATAGGACACTGGCTTCTCTGGACAATTAACATTTCCATATTCATGAAGTATTTACAAACAGGGCTCCTCTGTAAATCGTGGCAATTAGCTCTTTAGTGTGGTCCAATGGTTGCACAGCCCAAACATGAGCAGCTGGAGACGGATGGTTTTGTGGAAACAAAGAGATAATGTGCTTGTCTTGGGAGTGAAAGAGATGATCGGATTCCCCAGGGCTCCAGCTATTCCAAGAGCTGACTTTGAAAAGCTGTCCAAAATGCTGTTGACTCTCCTCCCCCTGTGCCATGAAGTGTCTGTCTCATCTCTGAGTATGGAGGGCTTAGAGCTGGGTCCTATTTGGTGTTACTAGGGAAAAGGCTTGCCTTGAGAAACTCTTCAGATAGGGCTGACTTAACATGGATACCATAGGTATCGTGACTACTTTTACAGACTTCTTAAAAGCCTGCTTTGGACAAGCAAAGGGAACTTTTTTTTCCCCTCATCTGGCTGCCTGCTCACTACTGTACTGAAGATGAGACAGGCTGAAGTTTTTACCCTGGTCTAATGGAAAGGAGATTTGGTTCTAGGTTATGGTTTCTGTTATGAGCAATAAAGATGTTCCTATTTAATCTCAATGTGGCTTTTTTCATTATTCTGTTGACTGGACATGTTTCTGTCATAAGACGGAGGTGACAGTTTGCATTGGTGTTTGTCTTGGCACAGCTGAGTGTATAAGGGTAGTGGATATCCTAATGTCATACACCTGGGTGAATAGGCCTGTGTGAAAACATATGGCACATTACTTTCTCTTGCACTTTGGAATAAGCGCATTTGTCTCTTAAGTACTTGAGGTTTGGAAGCTGCCTTTCTGTTGGTTGAGGGTTTAGAATGAACTACATGAGATAATTGTAGGTGAGGTGTTTTTTCTAGTTGCATTACATCTTCCATTTCTGTTCATAGGAGTCTCTGTAGTGCTTGAATAAGACTTTCTGTAAAAATAACGTTTTGCTTTGCAGTACTGGCTTAAGTTCCCATTTTTAATAGAGTAGTTTGCCTGGTCTGACTCTCGGTGGTTTCTGAGCATGCAGTCTTATACTCTCTCTCCTCAGACAGGACTAAGAAAGCAGGCAGAGGGTGCAGAGAAGGGGGTGGATTAAATGCACAGTGCATGTTTGACAGCCTTAAAAGACCGCTTTGAAAACCACTTTTTTGCTGTCCTTTGGATATTTGTATTTATGAAGAAGTGAATTAATATAGCACTAAGGGCAAAGGCAAGTGACACATTTATAGTATGCACCTTTTAGTTTTGTGATGTATACCAAAGGAGAAAAGCACCTTGCTCATGAGACGTTGTATTATGTTGACGTGTTAGGTTTCCTCAGCTTTGTTTTGTATATAAAGAGTTGCTTTGCCCTTCAGTTTCTGAACTGTGCTCTTTAAATCATGGCTCAATTCCTCTTTGTGCAAGAAATGAATTGTCGTTCTACAGCAAAAGTAATGTGATCAAGTGTGAACTCTCGTTTTTAAAGATTGCAGCTAGCTTCTGGACTGAGAGATGACTACTGTCTGCAAAACTAAAATAGCTGCTGACATTTAGAGTTTCTTTCCAGACTATGGTATATCTCAACAAAGTCTGGCAGCCTTTGCTTTCAATTTCAAGTTTTTTTTAAAAATAGTTTAAGGTCAGGTTACATTTTTTTTTTAAAGTGGGAAACCATTCAAAGAACATTTCTGTGATGGTGCATATGCAGGCATTCATATAAGAGGCATCAGAGAGTTAATTTAACAAAGCCTAAATTCTGCTCCAACCTCTTTATAGACCTTAACTATCCTTACCACAACACTAATCCCAGCAATAATACTTGCTATAATAAGATAGAACACTATACCTATAATACTCAAACTCTAGTTTGAACACTACTGCCACCAACTACAGATTTTACAACACACTTAAGTAGAATATAAAACTTACTAGAACCATTTTATTGCTTAGACTTGTTTAGATGTCTTGGCATTTCAGTGGCCCAAACTAAGAAACAATATGAAGAACTCTTATTCTGAACTCTTTTTAAATTGACTTGAAAGAACACGATCCTTACATGAAAAGGAAGAAAGGTAATTGTAAGCATGATGGAAAGGGATATTAGAAAGGCAGAAAAAGTGAGAAAATATTGCATTAGAGAATAAAAATAAAGCTTTTTATCATTATTACATAGCAAAAGAACAGGAAAAGATTGAAAGCAAAATGGCTTATGTATTAAATGACTATCTCATAACGCCAACATGTCACAGGCTGAGGGAAGAGAAAGATCTGTATCAAGCAGTATTAGTATGCAAGAGGTAGAACTGTTATAGGTCTGATCTGCAGGGCCTGAAAGTGCTCTATTATATTTCAAGAAACAAGATGGTCTTCATTTATGACTCAAGATGGGAGTAATGCCCACTGAGTGGAAAGCTGCTCATGGAGAACCACTGGGAAACAAAAGTGAAAAATGGAACAAAAAAACATAGTCTGGCTTTGTTACACGTACTGTTATGGCGGAAAAGATAATTGGAAGTAGACGCTCGTGTATGGCAGTAAAACTGTACAATCAACATGGATTTAGAAAAGGTACAGTTCTTTGAACTAACAGTAGCAGTAATGGATCAATATATACAATTAATAATGCACATTGAGCTATATTTTTAGATTTTCCAAAGGCTCTTAATAAAGCCCCTCGTAGTGTATCTTACATTTTGGATGGTTGGCCTTCAAGGTAATGCTAGTACAGTATTTGGATTCAGAACTGTTTATATGATGGAAAACAAATTGGATTAGAGATAAAGAATGAATGCCCAAATTAGGGTGTTGTAATTAGTAGTATACCACAGAGATCTGGATTTGCACCCCTGCTGTTCCTAAATTCTATCAATAATGTAGGTTTGTGTGTAGTTTCTAAACAGCTCAAGTTTGCATATGATATAACAGGATAAAACATGCATTTGAAGATGTAAAGTAAATTTCTTTTGTGTATTTTAAAGTAAAATTATAAAAAATGTAGAACTTGGTAAATATCTGATTGATAATATTTAAAGTTGTCAGACAAGTACAGAATATTACGTGGCCAATAAATCATAAACTACAGTACAAGACAGAAAACCCTGATTTTAAAATAAAATACTTCATTGTTGACACATTTTCATCTTGCAGACAATGTATGAAAGCAAAAGAAGAATTTAAATGAAGGAATGTTATGATACAAAAATGTACAAATCAGTTGTTAAAAACTCACATACTGTAGAATAGTTGCACAATATGGTCCCCACGTTATGGAAAGAATATTGCTGTTTTAGAATCCATTCAGAGAAGAGCAACTAGATGCATTCTATATACAGTATAGGGAATGGCCTATACTGACAGGATTAATGAACTGAATCTTTATAGTCTTCGAGAGAAGATTTCAAAATACTCAAAGGCACTGACATCCACCATTGGAACTCTTCAGAATTAACAGTGAAACATGAACCAGAAAATGCAAGTGGAGACAGTTGTGGAAACAGACAACAGGAGGCACACCAAGCTTCAACCGAGTGGAGTCTGTGGAAGTCTTAAACAAGTTATCCATGTTGTTGAAGCTGATACTTTGGCTTCTTTTAAATAAAAGCTAAATAAGATCCCTTAGATCAGTTACTAGCAACCAAATGAACTAGATGGCCCAAATGTCTCCTTCCTTCATGCAAACAGTGTTGTGGGCCAGCTAAATTGTGCTTATCACAAGAAAATATATTTTTTGTATTAAAAAAACTGTCCTGATATAGGTGGTCTTTGACATTTGATTCTGCAATGACTTGAGCATGTTTAAATACACTGTTATTATTGATCCAATCATAACCTTATCATTGATTCACCGAATGCCTGATTTAGTTCATCTGTCAACCATAGCCTGAAAAAGGAGGTTAAATTGACAGCATTGATTCATGCAGTTATTACAGAGTAAACTTTA